CCGGAGCGTTGGTGCTGAGGCAGCCTGGCCGAGCGTCGCGTGATGAGGAGGGAGGGAGCTCGTGTTAAACCTGCAGAGTCTTCAGGAGGTTGAGATGTTTTCAATGGTTCCTGCTCAGATTCGACTCATTTATGAAACGTTCTCCCTGAAGACTCCATCTGCTGCAGGTGAGATACTGACTAATCACATGCACGCCGTACTTCTGCAGGTTTACAGTTTGAATAACAAACTCCTACTTTCTGTGAAAAATGAACGTTGTTGTTTGTTGTTGTTTTCAGATCGACTCCAGGAGAGGCTGTGGATGCGGTTGTGAGCGTTGATGCTGTCGGACCTGGATGTTATTCAGACATGAGGCGGTGAAAAGCGCTCCGGTGTTTTCATGTCGAAGCAGGAGGAACGCTGGAGGACGCTTGTGAAATAAACCCAACGAGACACAAAGTCCCTAAACAACAAAGGTCCCAAAAAGAGCAAAGCCAGGTCGTGCTGAAAAATGAAATCTTCATCTCCATGAAGCTTTTCAGCAGATGGAAGCATGAAGTGCTCCAAAATCTCCTGATAGCTAGCTGCATGGACCCTGCCCTTGATAAAACACAGTGGACCAACACCAGCAGCTGACATGGCGCCCCAGACCATCACTGACTGTGGGTACTTGACACTGGACTTCAGGCATGTTGGCATTTCCCTCTGCCCAGTCTTCCTCCAGACTCTGGCACCTTGATTTCCGAATGACGTGCAAAACTTGCTTTCATCTGAAAAAAGTACTTTGGACCACTGAGCACCAGTCAAGTGCTGCTTCTCTGTAGCCCAGGTCAGGTGCTTCTGCCGCTGTTTCTGGTTCAAAAGTGGCTTGACCTGGGGAATGCGGCACCTGTAGCCCATTTCCTGCACACGCCTGTACACGGTGGCTCTGGATGTTTCTACTCCAGACTCAGTCCACTGCTTCCGCAGGTTTCCCAAGGTCTGGAATCGGTCCTTCTCCACAATCTTCCTCAGGGTCCGGTCACCTCTTCTGGTTGTGTAGCGTTTTCTGCCACACTTGTTCCTTCCCACAGACTTCCCACTGAGGTGCCTTGATACAGCACTCTGGGAACAGCCTATTCATTCAGAAATGTCTTTCTGTGTCTGACCCTCTTGCTTGAGGGTGTCAATGATGGCCTTGTGGACAGCAGTCAGGTCGGCAGTCTTACCCATGATTGCGGTTTTGGGTAATGAACCAGGCTGGGAGTTTTTAAAGCCTCAGGAATCTTTTGCAGGTGTTTAGAGTTAATTAGCTGATTCAGAAGATTAGGTTAATAGCTCGTTTAGAGAACCTTTTCATGATATGCTAATTTTTTTTTAGACAGAAATTTTGGGTTTTCATGAGCTGTACGCCAAATTCATCAATATTAGAAACAATAAAAGGCTTGAACTACTTCAGTTGTGTGTAATGAATCTAAAATATATGAAAGTCTAATGTTTATCAGTACCAGTGGCGGATGGTGAAAAATATTTTTGGTGGGGCTGTGCTATTTTTTTTTAACCAAACTTGTGCTTTCTGAGCTTTGTGCACAACTCCACTATTTCCTGAATTAAGCACAGCTCTTTTATTTCCTGTCTTACATTATTGGACAAACTGATTAATCCAGGTGTGTCTGACTATTGGCACGCTGCCTTGCAGACCACGGTTGAAAAATACTGCATTAAATTGCACATAAAATAACATGACCATATATGGTAAATAGGCAATGCAAGAGGCAACAAAAACATTTAGTTTAATTTCAACATTTGAGTGAACACCAAAAATTATGAGCAGGTCACTGTTACAGTAATGGTAGTAAACACCACTTAGACAAAATGCCAGAAATGTACACTGTTAGGACTTATGGAAAGTGGAAACACTTTCATAGGAAATAATGTCATCAGTATCCTCTTACAAATGTCATATTTCCCAGCTTTTGGGGACAATAAAACATTTCTGATTCTCAATCAGATGTTTTTACATTTGAGGTAAAAACATCTGATTGAGAATCAGAAATGTTTTATTGTCCCAAAAGCTGGGAAATGTGTTTGCTGCAGCAGAAGTGTAACAAGTAAAATGGAATCAGATTGATGTATGTACAAATTTACATGAAATACACATTTACATGATTAAATATGTATAATAGGTATGTGTGTTGAAATTAGTTTTTACAGTTATTGCACATTAAACATGTTATTAAACAAATGTCCCGGTTTGTGGGACAACCAAGGATTTCTGATTCTGATTGTCTTGTTTACAGAAATGTAATGTACAGCTTACCTCTGCACCCAGCTGCTGTTCTCCCTGTCCAAACGTCCTCCGTTTCTTTGTTGGCTGCTGCACTGATGCGCTGCATTCCTCAGTCAGAGAATGAATGGAGTCCCCAATGAGACACAAGTTCCACATCCACCTTCTGTGGATCCCAGCCGTTTTGAATAACAAACACAGAAAGCTAAATAACGCATTAGCATGATTGCATCCAGCTAGCCACTGCTTCCTGGTGTACCAACTTTGGGAGAAGCGTCGTGTGTACAGTTTACCCTTCTCCTTGTCCTGCTGGCTTATCTTTACGTCGGGCTGATCTGGTCCAAGCTCTTTGACATTAAGTTTTTCCACCATAGTTCTCCTCTCGAACGGATGATACTGGAGAAGAGACCGAACTGAATTCAGTGGCTGCTGAGATCCGGTATCCTGGTTGTAGGCTCACTGGCGTCCATTACATCTGCGTCACGAGACTCTCCGAGTTCTACCGAACACAAACGAAAGCCTTGGCGGTAGCTCTATCGCCCATCATGCTTCTGAAACGTTCTGAAACAACGTCGACGCTGATTGGATACATCCCCATTCCTACCCTTTGATTTTCTTGTCAGCAATTGGACGACTGGTCCCGTCCTGTTTGGGCGGTTGAAAAACAGCTCACAGCCTCCACCGCTCGGCAGAGACCGGCAGAGACCAATATAGATATATATATATATATATGATTTGTTTTTGTTACAAAATACACAATTAACTTAGAATATGTGATTATTGTTAATTTTATTTATTTATTTTTTTAAATAAAAATTAAAAACAGTGGGGAAACTGGGAGGGCGGCGCCATATCGCCCTCTACTGGCCAGCTGCCTCAGTACATTACGGACAATAATGAACTTTATCACAATATGCTAATTTTTTGAGAAGGTCCTGTATATCCTTGTGTAACAAGCAACGAAAGCAAAACAATATGGAGCAGCATCATGCATGTTGCATGTGTTTTGTTTCACTGTAGACAGACTATTGTAGTTTTTTTTACAATGATCTCAAACAGAAAACCCTGAAGATAATCGATGAAAATATTTGTCTTTCTTTTATCTTTGAATGCACTGATGAATTTAAAATGTTGTGGATTTGTAAAACCAAGGGGTCATTATGGTCTTTATTTTTACAAGCCAACAAGGAAGTGGCTAAAATTGCAGTTCCACGCTCATCCACTAGGGGCTGGCAGCAGAAGTGAGCAGATCCTCATTGACTCCCATGTTAAAAATGTCCATTTTACAGCAGAGATAAACATCTTTACAGCCTGGTTCAAACCCCCATTCTAGGTTTAATAGATCTAGTTTACATTCATGATGACTCTGAGGGTGAATTTTACTGTAACTCTTCTGTTTGAGTGGAATTTAACGCTTAACATTTCTGAATAATTAATGAGCACCAGAGCCACGTGACTTCAGAGCTAGCTCCGAGGAAAGGCCTCAGCCTCTAAAGGTTGGTTTATGCTTGACGCGTCCGCAAGGTCCGCACGGCTCCGCGTGGAAAAGTTGCATCATTTTGCGTCATTTTAACAACCACGCCCCTCCACCGCGCCTCCCCACGGCCCAGAATTTCCCCGACGCGCACCTCGGAAAATTTCTAACCACGCGGATGGTCGGACGCGGAAAAACATGGCGGACCGGCAAGAACTAGTATGGCAGAGGTTGGTAAATACAGACATTTGTATGATTCAGCTCTCAGAGATCACCGTGATCAACATGTTGTTAATAATTCTTGGAGAGAAATAGCTCGCACTGTCGGAAAAGACGAGAACGCTGTTAAAAATGCTGAAATGCTGTGTTGTAACCAGTAATTTTTACTTCTACTATGGTGTAGTGTTGGATGCATGCCGTAGAGCTCCATGCTGCCCCCTACAGTTTGGGAGAATATTGGCTCACCGCAGAGACGAGCCGCACGAACCATAAACGCTGCGAGTTGTGAAGCGCGTTCCATCCGCGAGCCGCATCACCAAGCGGAAAGTGAATGTGTTAAGCGTAAACCAAGCTTAATAGATGTCCAGCCATTTCGACTCTCTGAACTTTAGTTGTGTGTGTGTGTGTGTGTGTGTGTGTGTGTGTGTGTGTGTGTGTGTGTGTGTGTTGATCATGGGATTAGTTGGACAAACAGGTCAAGCTGTGGTTACTGACGGCACCAACAGACCATCCAAGCAGATTCTGCTCCTTTTTTATCAGCAAGTAAAATTATATTTATGTACTTTATTTAGTTGGTTGAATGGGGGAAATGCTGTCATTTAACTGCTTGGTCAAACATGTTAGTGGGGCTATGTCCATATTTTTATATGTCGATGTGAAAAACACACAATATGGCAAAGGAAGTTCATATACATATGTGTATGAATAAAAATACATTAAAATTATGTTGCAGGCTTGTTTCTTCAAGCCACGGATGGTATATCAAAACATAATCATAGTAATGATGCACCTGTATGAAATGTTTGGGGCTGATACCGATATCAGATATTAATACCACTGTTATGGCCGATAACCGATATATTGTGCATCCCTAAATCATAATAAATTATTACTCATCATTATGTTGCTGCAGCTGTAATAAAATAAATGAATATTGATCTATTATTATTATTATTATTATACTGACACGTCAATGATTAGTACATAGAAACTCCTGCTACACACTTTGTCCAGCAGGAGGCGCTGGTCCATCTTTAGGTTTTTCAAACCACTAAAGTAAAAACACAGACGAAGTCAAAGAAACCGGAACCGAAATAGTTACTGTTGTTTTTGTTTCTCTGTTGGATTTTGACTCGTTTCTTCTGTTTTTGTTTTGCTTTTTGAGTCTGAAAATGTAAACCGGTTGGTTCTGGAACGAACCGGAAGCCCATCCCGGTGTGAACCCACCGGCTGCAGGTGGAGGTGAACGGATCGGAACCGCTGAGCATCATCCCGTCTGCGGATTGAGGTTCGGTTGGTCACAATGCCTCTCAGTCCGGCTAACCAGGCCCAGCTGATCCGGTCCAGTCAGAAGGATGAATATTACCGAACCGTGCTGAGGAACAAGTCCAACGAAGCGTTTCAGACTCTTGCAGGTTCGTGTGGCCGGTTAGCTTGTGCTGATGCTAAAGTTCCGTAAACTGGATGGTTGAGTCGGTTTTCAGAGTTTTTACTTCAAAAACAGCTGAAGTTTCTTCAACCTCGTTCCCGGAAACCAACAAAAACAGTTTTATTCAGTCTGAAGCCTGAATTTGTGTTTATAAAGGACAAAAACTCAGCTTCGTGCAGTTCGAACTCAGCCGTTCCTGTCGGAGCAGATAAGGTCCGAATGATCTGGAATCAAGATTCGGTTCAAATATAAAGTCAGTTATGTTCTTTTTAAGATTAAAAAATGATGAAACACTTTAGATCCGTCCATCACCAACAAAACCAGAGGCTGGTGTCGACCCGCTCCAGAGGACTCCGTCTGGGATGGACCAGAACCAAACTGGATCAGATGGATCTGCATTCCAGATCCATTCCAGGAGGTGTCGTTTTCCTTGGACCAAAGTGGAGAGGATGATCCAGATGGTGTTGGCGCCAAGTCCAAAAGTAGATCCTGAGATGGTTCGGACTTGGTCCATGTTCTGTGGTGGCAGGATTATCTAGTCAGAGAGAGAAAAGGGTTCTGGTTCCGGACGGGCCTGCCTGCTGATGTCCTGACCCATCTCCAATAAAGAAAATTAGGTAAAACCCAAACTGAAGAGGATGACCCGGTTCTGTTTTGTCTGCAGAGAGAATGGGACAAACGACAAAGCCTCATCACACCCGGACCAGAACCGGTTCTGTAGCCGCTGGAAGCCCAGAACCAGGCGGATGTTAAACGTTTTTGTTTCCTTCGTTTTTAAAGATTTGTTCATCATTCAGGAGTTCTTCTAGCACGACCTGTGATCAGTAAAAACGCTCATTGGGTCAGTTTGTTAGTAACAGACGAGGTGTCTTTTCAGAATAAAAGCCTGTAACTGTTGCTTTTACCTTCAGGATCTAAGCGATGGCTGGACTGGAGGAGGGAGCTGGAGCTGCTATCTGACATCGTTTACTTTGGTCTAACAACCCTCTCAGGTGGTTTGCTGACATCCAGAACTTGACCTTGATCCAAAGAATCAAACTTCTTCATGTGAGCATCTCCATTGTCTGCAGGTTATCAGACTCTGGGTGAGGAGTACGTTCACATCATCCAGGTGGAGCCGACCAGACGCCGGATCCCGTCCCAGACCAGACGAGGTCTCTTCGTCCTCCTCCACACCTTCCTCCCCTACCTCCTCGACAAAGTCCTGGTGTGCCTGGAGAATGAGCTGGGAGGCGAGCAGGAGCACCGCAGGGCCATCGGCCGGCATCATGCGGCATCCGGGGGGTGGAGCCTGGAGGGGTGGCTCAGGAGGGGGGTGCAGAAGGCGGTGGGCATGCTGACTGAGCCTCAGAAGAGGGCGTGGCAGCCGGCGGTGTTTGTGATCCAGCAGAGCGTGGGCCTGCTGCACCGCCTCCATGTAGCGCTCTTCTACATCAGCAGCTCGTTTTATCAGCTGTCAAAGCGGGCGGCCGGGATCCGATATGTGAGTCAAGGGCAGGAAGTTCCCCACCAAAATAAAACTCAGGAAAAAGATTTTTTTTATTGATTCTTTCTGATTATACTCAAGTCACTGAGTTTTCATGCAGGCTGAACATGGAAATAGTCTCCTACACCTATCTCCTGCATTAGCTATCAGGAAGTAAGACTCCAAATTTACTTATTGTAAGTTAGAAGGACCCTCTCGAAAAGGAGACGGTTCATCTAATGTGGTTTTATCCTAAAACACAAGTCAGTAATAAATCCTGCCGTCTGAAGCTCAACTCAGATGTGGCTCACTTCTAGTTCCTGAAACAGGCGCCAGAGCTTTGTTTCTAGCTCCTGCTGTAGACCAGTGCAGGTGTATGATAGATACAAGTAAAGTTGGTCTTTAATGTCAAATCCTAATTTAAGTTTATTTTATGAATTAATACAAAATAAGATGTGTTTTTATTCTATAACGTTAGATTTGTGTGTGTGTGTGTGTAGCTGCGTGTGATGGGGCCGGGTGGCACAGACGCCTCCATCCGGAGCAGCTACAGACTGCTGGGTACCGTCTCCCTCCTCCAGCTGCTCGTCTCCGTCTGCCTGCAGCTCCAGAACTTCAGGCGGAGGCAGAGAGCTCGACAGGAGTGGAAGCTCCACAGGAAGCTCAGGTACAGAACCGAACCCGGACCTTCTCTGATTACAGCGCAGAGCTCGATGTTCTGATGTGAAAGTGCTGATTTGTGTGTTTTCAGCCCTCAGCGCACACCGAGCTCCAACCCACGAGCTGCTCGCTGCATCTTGTGCCTGGAGGCGAGGAGGAACTCTACCTCCACCCCCTGTGGACATCTCTTCTGCTGGGAATGCATCACAGAGTGGTGCAACACCAAGGTCCGGCTTCCATCTGCAGGTTTTCACTCTCAGATCTGATCAGAAGCTTCTGCAGCTACTGTCAGATTCTTCTCACACCTGACTGATTTCAGAAGAAATCTAGAAGTTTCTCCTCCCTAGATAGAAACCAGGACCCTCCTGCTGGGTTCCTCTGTGTTCACTTCACACATTCACCTTGCTCCTTTTCATCCATCCATCCTCTCAGCAGCACAGCTGAGTTTTCATTTGAATTATTTAAATTAAACACTTCCTGCAGCTGTTTCACAGCAAAACATTAAAAACCAAAAGCAGACTTTTATTTTGAAAGAGCTGCAGCATTAAGACCTGAACAGGAAGTAAACGAGTCGTTGTGAGAGGAGACGTCTAACAGCTGTGATCCGTGTTTGCAGGCCGAGTGTCCTCTTTGTCGGGAGAAGTTCCCCCCCCACCGACTGGTTTTCTTAAGGAACTACAGCTGAATGAGCCGGACCGGAACCGACCCGTCCGGTTCTCCAGGACCTTCCTGATGCGGTTTACCGTCTCCCTACCAGGAGAGGAAATCTGTTGATTGTATCAGTCAAACATGCGGAGCTGCTGAAGCACCACCAGTGACCCTCCAGGGCTCCCGTAGTCAATATTAGTCTAATTAATATTTAATGAAACATTAATTAAAGTTTTATGTTAACGTTGCTGAACTGATTAAAAACTTGACTTCCTGTTTTTTCTGCTGCAAAATAAAAGCTCTACGTGTTTAGAGACGCCTCTCTTCTGAAAACACACAAAGCTTCTCATCCAACATTAATCAATTCAAACTCAAAGTAGAGACCGTCAGCCCACTGACCCGACCCGGTTCTGATGCTCCATTCTGGTCCAGACGTTGGTTTGATCGTTCCGGCTTCACGTTTCGGTCCGTTTACATAAAAAATGACTTTTATGGTTCATCTGATGCTTCTTCTGCTCACAGTTCACAGAAAGACTTAAAAAGAGGAAAAACTTCAACCAGGAAAACCAGCATTCCCTGTTGGGACCTGCTGCTGTATGGGTCGGGTCAGAACCTCTGACACTTGGATCTGAACTGCATCAACTCTAAAGTCTCAAACTCACCAGACCCTCCTCAGGGTCAGAACGACGGCTCCAGATCTCCACCAGCTGCAGGAAGGCCTCCTCCACACCTGGTCCCCAACACAGGTGTGATCCATCAGGGTCTCAGCTGCAGCAGCTTCACCCCTCCCCCATCCTCTAAGCTGTTCTGGACGGGTGTGTTGGAGCTGGAACCAGAACCGGCTGGAGGGTGGACCTGAAGGCCCTGGCTTTCAGACCACTGGTTCGACATGAACCAGCACTGCAGGTATGCTGTGAGAAGGTGCAGATGCATGACTTCATCGTGTGTTTGCAGGTCCTCATCTACCTCCTCCACAGCTGACACCTGACAGAGGCTCAAACATTCCTCAGGAGCCCGTTTCCTTTCCGAACAGAAGCAGCAGCAACATTTTCCTGGAACGAGCTGCAAATTTAAAATAACGAGCGGATGTCTTCCCAGAGCTGCTGGCAGCAGGCTGGACCACGGGCAGGTGCTCGTTAACGAGGTTCCTGAGCTTCTCGCAGCTCAGACCCACTGTCACCTCAGAGGTTCCTCCTTATGCACACGACCCTCTGTTTGGGTAGTCAGCCGTTTCCTCCCGGGACAGGAAGTGGAGCTGAGAGAAGCTGCTGAACACCAGGATGGAGAAGGCACAGCAGCTTCAGCTCCAGCCTGAGCAGAACTTTTCAGTGATGTGAGGGGAGAAGAGAGGAGAGGAGAGCAGCAGCAGGCGGATAAGCGTGGATCTAATGATCCGACTGAGGCTCTGGTTTCCTGCAGCTCAGCTGGAGACGGATGACAGGAAAACACTCCAATAAAACCTGCAGGGAAGCAGAAACGTTCCTCTCTGCTGCTGGTTTCACCACAAAAACACAATTTCATCAGATTTTATTTGATCCTGTTGGAGGAACTTTAACTTCCTGACTCTCTCTCTCTCTCACACACACACACACACACACACCTTTAGGTGCTTCTCTGGGAGAATTGCTCTCTGCTGCAGACTTCTGAGGAGAACAGAGATACAACAGCGCCACCATCAGATCTTTTGGGTTCCAGTTCAGTTGAACAGAAGATGAACTTATTCAGGCTGAAAGTTCAAGTTTTTCTTTTTAAATACATAAAAGCTCTTATTTTAGTTTTAGTGATTTATGCTAGTGTAGCGCCCAGAAACGGTGAGTTTTTCATCTACAGCTGACCTCTTCAGTGTCGGGTCATATGGAGACAAACGTCTTAACTGGAGCCTTTAATCTGCTAGAAAGATGTTGCTGGACCAAGTCCCTCAAGTTTCCTCCCATCTTTATCTGCCTTGCTTCACAGCACAAGAAGAAGGCTGCGTTTATGATAATGAACCGTTTTAACGAATACTGGAACACGTTAATAATCATGGTTGAATGAACAACAATGTTTTGATTAATCTGTGCTTAAATTACTGACGTTGAAATGCTAAACCCAACAGAACTCACTTCCTCGTGAGTCAGTTAAGCCGACTCTGGACCGGCCACCGGGGAAATCTCTTCTCCCATCACCTCTTGACAAGCGGTCAAAACCTGTTGCACGCTACAGCTAACGCTAACGGTTCCTTCAGAACAAAGCTGACACCGCTCCGACTCCCTGAGAGTCCTTCCACAGACACAAATAACTACCTGTCGTGACCTGGAGACCACTCAAAGACCGGTCTAGTGGTGCCGCAGCTTCTCCTACGGACCTCGGTGCCTTGGAGTCCACGGACTTCGACATTCCAGATCTACCCCGGGGGTCTCCGAAAGACAGGGTACGTAGACACGACAGATGCCGTTTTATTAGAAATCAACTTTCTAGTTTAATGCAGACCAAATTCACTCCCACTCAGAACTCCGCCTCTCCAGACACGAGGGTTCTGGTAACATCACATTCACACATCATCACACCTCACCTGCCATCCATCACATAAAAACATGACAGCTAGGAAAATCTTTAACTGTTTAGAAAATAAATTTCTTACTTTTTATAAACGTGACTCTGAATTCATATGAAGTGTGTTACGATCCCTGAATAAACAAATCATTCTAATTCTAGTTAAACATTCAAAGATCAATCAGGTTGATACTCTATATTCATACAGAATCATCACATCTTATTGATCATAATTAAAACCCAAAATACACCTGTAGTCTAATTTTACACTACGATTAAATAAAATAAGGCTTAAAGATCATTTTTCCTCCCGAAGCGAGCTGTATTTGTTCTGTTTATCATTATTATTAATAATAAAGCCTAACTGAGGTTCGTTTCTACAGAATAACCCTTTAGCTGCTCCTGCAGCAGCATCCACAGAGGAACTTCCTTCAGTCTTTCACAATAAGAGTCTCAAACAAGCATCTGACCATTACAAGGAATATTTTCTATTTTCTGCTAAAATCCGCGCCGTAGCTCTTCAATCAGCAACAAAACAAGTTAACAGTTATAAACAGGTGTGCACTTCGTCTTAGTGTGGTAGGTGTCTAGGTGAAGTTGGATATCTATACAAATAACGACGGGGCAACGTCTTAGGAACAAAAGGATGCCGAGTCTGTTCATGTAAATAAAAGCTATCAGCCTACAGAGGGCTCAGTTGTGTAGACACCCTAAAATCAGAGTGAAATGAAGACGCGGCAGGCTAGTCCGTTATTTCAAAAACTTGCTCAAATTGCTTTTCAGTACCTTGTGTGGCCCCCGCGAGCTCGTGTGTATGCTTGACAACGTCGGGGCATGCTCCTAATGAGACAACGGATGGTGTCTCGTGGCATTTCCTCCCAGATCTGTGTGAGGGCGTCCCTGAGCTCTTGTACAGTCTGAGGAGCAACCTGGCGCCGCCTAATGGACCGAACCATAATGTCCCACAGATGTTCTATTGGGTTTAAGTCAGGGGATCGTGAAGGCCATTCAACTGTTTCAATTCCTTCATCCTGCAGGTACCGCCTACATACTCTTGTCACATGAGGCCGGGCATTGTCGTGCATTAGGAGAAAACCAGGACCTCCTGCATCAGCGTAGGGTCTGACGAAGGGTTCAAGGATTCATCTCCATACCTTATGGCAGTCAGGGCACCATTTAGGCAGTAGAGGTCTGTGCGTCCCTCCATGGATATGCCTCCCCAGACCATCACTGACCCACCACCAAACCTGTCATGTTGGACGACGTTGCAGGCAGCATAACATTCTCCTCGTCTTCTCCAGACTCTTTCACGTCTATCACAGGTGCTCAGGGTGGACCTGCTCTCGTCTGTAAAAAGTACAGGGCGCCAGTGGCGGACTTGATCAAATGCCAGTCGAGCTCTACGGGTCTGGGCAGTGACACAGGGCCCGCTACAGGACGTCGGGCCCTCAGGCCATCTTCATGAAGTCTGTTCCTGATTGTTTGGGTGGAGACGTTCACACCGGTGGCCCTCTGGAGTGTTTCATTGGAAGGTGATACTGGAAGATGGCTGACAAGGGGGTGCCTGCATGACTTTCATGTCTCAGGAAATCCTCTAATTTTCCTTCAAGAATGAAATGAAATCTGTCTAAAAAGACGAAAAACAAGATCGGCAAAAGATGGCTGCGGCCAAAAAATTGGCAGAAGAGCTAGAAGAAATTTAAAAATCCTTGAACTTTTTGTCTGAAGAAATTAGCAAGGTTGCTAAACAACAGGCTAACCTCATGGGCCTGATGGAGGAGCTGCAGGAACTGAAGGCCTCAGTCAAACAGAAGGATCAGAAGATTGAGAGGATGGAACAAAGAATAGATGATTTGGAACAAAATGCTCGAGCAGATGATATTCTCATCACTGGGCTGGTCACAAAGCATCGCAGTTATGCGAGAGCTACAGCGGGAGATCAAGAAGGTGAGGAGGCACCACCTGAAGAGCTGCGCACACTGGAGGAACAGGTTGTTCAGTTCTTCAGCGTCAAGAAGATTAATCTAAATAAAGAGCACATCTCTGCTTGCTACACTATTCCAAGAAAGGATAACAGAAACAAGTCATCAATTGTGGTACAGCGTGTAAACAGAAAGCAGAAGATTGATATATTGAGTCAGTCTAGGAAGCTAAAGGGTTCTGGTGTTTATGTAAACAAAAAAAATACAATGCTGAAATAGCAGAACTGGCCGGATACTAATGAAACACAAGAAAATTCAAGCAGCATGGGTGAGAAATGGAAGAGTGTTTGTAAAGCTAAATGGATCACCTGAACAAGCAAAAGTGGTTCTGGTTGGAAGCCTCCAGGAGACGGAGCAATGCAGATGAACAAAAGCCTAAAACGATCACAACGTTGTTCGCTAAAAACTGGACAACATATGGTCACATTTTCATTATTACCAGTACCCTTTTTATTATTATTATTCATAACACTTTGGTTGTGAAGAAGGGGATACCATACTACCATCATCAAGAAACAGCTAGCTTGGAAATGAGCTGGATAGAAAAAGGATATCACACATTTTCTGGTGTGTGGAAATGAATATAGAGACAATGCAACAAAATACTCTCATGGATCAAAAGACTGAAACAAAGAACAAAAATCTATAAAGACATGGATCTACAAAGTACTGGGCTGGAAACGAGGCATCAAAGTCATCTAAGAACTACAGCTAAAGACTTACAAGGGGAGGATGAAGCCCCTGAGGAGGACACCACTAGGCAGGATCCGGTAGCTCAAGTGCTTCAGTGTTATGAAGATCATGTTTTACTGGAAAACCAATCGTTTAACATCTAAAAATGGAAACGACAATCAGAAAATTAAGAAATGCAGACTAAATCAAGCCTAAAAGTGTCAAATGTATCTGACCAGAAATTATTTGGTTTTGAAAATAATATCGATCCAGAGGTAAATTTTTACAATCTAAACAAATCGAAATCAGATTATTATGAAGAAGAGTTAAACAAACTTAAAATAGAAGGACTCTCTATCATACATTTTAGCAGCCTCTCGGAGTTCCTGCTGCTCTAAACATTAAAATAATTATTTAATTTTCTGTTCCTCACTTCTGATTACCTTCAGTGGTGTCTGTTTGTTGCAACCAGCAGGTACAAAAACTAACTTGTTTTTATTTGACTGTTTTTCTGTCCTGTCTGTTTATTATCTTCCTGCATCTCCTCTCAATCCTAAAGAGAAACTGCTACCTGGGTTCATATATATTCACCTCATGAGTTACCTTTGAACTGCAGCTCTAAAAGATCTACCGACCGCTAAAACAGCGGAGTGCTCACCGACCGCATCAGTGAGGTGCGTCACCGGAGGACAAAACAGGTGATGCACTCCGATCCACAGCAGCGAAACGCTTCAGGCACAAATAAAAGAATAAAAGACAGAAAACATAAAAGGAAATGAGCCGACATGAACGATCGCGTGTTAAATTAGTTTTTGAGGTGGCGACACCTGATTTGATAACGTTACTGTGGCCGTACTCAGGACGCAGATGTCTGGAGTGCGTCAACAATCAGAGCTTTGCATGTGCAAGCTGGTTAAGGTTAAGATGGGGGTGAGGGGAAGGTTAAATTGCAAGAGGGTAAACGTCACAATTTGGTTAAATGACCGTTTTACGGCGGGTGTCAGTACCGACGCTCTGGCACAGCGCGTTGCCTCCCGACGGTCTATCGCTGGCAAATCAAAAGTGAGACGGATGACAGAACCCCCCCGTGGTACTTGCTTGTTCCACATTCCACCCGGCCACAATAAAAAACTGCATGGTGGAGCAGTGGTTTGCACTGTTGCCTCGCAACACGAAGGTCGCAGGTTCGAAACTCGGCTGCGGCCTTTCTGCGTGGAGTTGCGTGTTCTCCCCATGCATGCGTGGGTTTCCTCCGGGTTCTCCGGTTTCCCCCACAGATCACAACATGCCCTATAGGTAAAAAAAAATAATTGTAAGTTGCTTTGGGTAAAAGCATCTGCTAAGCACATGAACATAAACATAAAAAACCGGCCATTATTCACCTCCGCCGACTCAGACACCGGCCAAAATATGATACCTGGCCGTTAATTGAATACAGGCTAATATTAGAGGATTTACGGTATGTATATTTCTTTATTCTGATTTTTTCTTTACTCATTTATCGTAATATTTTTATTTTGTTTTACAATTATGTCTTGAATAAACAAGATCAATATATGGTTTGACTGAACATTAATATGATTTGTTAACACTGGGTTTTCCTGGGGGGGCCAGCAATTTTCTAGGGGTGGCCATGGCCACCCCTGGCCACCACTTGGGGGCGCCCTTGGACCCATGGGCCGACCGGAAGGGGAGGAGACTTAGGCTCCCTATAGAGGGTCTATCAATATATATGTCTGTCTCAGGCTCTACGGCGGCCCCTCACAGGCCATCGTAGAGGCTGACACTTGCATGTTTCAGACCCTTGGAAAACCGGAGAGATCCTGGCTGTAGTTCCCTCTGATCCCGGTGGAATAAACACAACACATCGGTTTTAAGTGCAGAGTAATTCATTGTCCAAAAGCATCAAATAAAACATCTGCCACACGTTACAAAGAGCAGTGGTTTAAATAATCTACACGCAGCTTCCCAAACCCCGCGGCGTACACACACACGCACACGTACACACACACACACATGCACACACACACACACACACACAAGCACACGTACACACACACACACACATGCACACACGCAGCAAAGTAAACATTAAATAAAAAAGTGTCTGCTTCTCTAAAACATGAAAGCTGCTCTTCATCTACATCATACATAGAAAACACTCAGACCCCGCCCCCACCTCCACTGACCCCGCCCCCACCGCCACTGCTGTGGTCATAAAGTTCCTCATGGATCCAAACCCTGCTGGTTCCGTCCAGCAGAAACAGGCTTCCAGGTGTTCCTATCGCTCTGCCCAACCAGCTTCATTCCCAGCAGCGCTGCTCCGACTCCGCGCTTTAAAAACTAAATCTGCACAAAGTTCCGTTACATTCATTGGAAACGACAGCATTTTGGATCTGGTGTTCAGTGGAACCGGTTCAGCCCTGTGGATCAGAACCGGACCTCAGCTGCTCTAAAATCAACACGTGCACTTTCCCGGAGAGGCGATCGGGCTCAGTGACGGCAACGGTGCTCCGGGACGGGTAGCGGGAACGTGACTTCTCTCCTGATGCATGCTGGGTAATCCGGGCTAAGTAACTAAACTAAAACGTTAAAAACAAACATCAACTGTTTTATTGTTGACGTGTACGGTTTGGGTAAAAAAAACTTCACGATGAAACTCAAATCCGATCCGTTAAAAGACGATTCAGTAAATCAAACCTTTAAAAGAAGTCGAGCCTTTTTAAAGCTCTAACGAGTTTATTTACCGAGCAGCCGGCGGTTTCCGGTCCGCACCGCGACGCTCCCGCAGCTCCCAGAGACCAGGCTGCTGATGAGTCAGCGTCAGCGTTCCCGGTGATGCCTTCCACTCCCAAACCGACTTTCTCCGCTCAGACTTTAAAACAGAACTAATCTAAAGAACGCAGCGTCCATCGTTAAAATAAATAAACGGGTCGGGGGCGGAGCCGAACCGGAGCGCCGTCACCGCTGAACACCTAACCCGACCGGAGTTTGTTCTCCTGTTCTCACATGCGTCAGAGCAACCGGGAGCAACCGGGAGAGTAGAAGCAGGAAGTTGGAAAAAGGAGGGAGAGGAAGATGAAGAAGAGTCGTGGGTCAGCACCGGTCTTTGGTCGGGGCACCAGAACCAACAGCAGGAACATCTGGACAGAATACCGGAAGAGCACCTGGTTTGAGCTGAAACGTCCACGGGGCTGGGGGGCTTCGGAGGATCCGTCCGACTGCTGCTGGGCTAGAGGGAATGGGAAGGATGCTGGTTCTAAACCCAGAACAGGAGGAGGAAATTCCCGCTGATCCCAGTTCAGGCTGGTGTGGAGAAGGAGAAGTACCCTCAGAAGCATCAGAGTGAAAGCAGCAGGTTTCTGTGACGTTCCTATAAAACAAACGGGAGGAGACGAGCCTCGGCGCTGCGGATCCTCCCGGGTCTCGGCGGTTCCGCTCACCACAACCAGAACCGCCGGGATTCATCTCTTGGCCGACTTCATGTAGGAGGGGATGGCTCCCCGGGCCGTCAGCCCCTCGAAGCGTTTGTAGGTGTAGTTGATGAAGACCCAGTCCTTGTTCTTCAGGTCCACTTCCGTCTGGTTGGAAACGGGAGCGACTGCTGAACAGAAACACGCGTGACTTCAGGAATCACACGACACACGTTAACCGGGAACGGGACGCAGACCTGTCGGCGTCAGGATGTCCGAGTCGGGAAACTCGTCGAAGTTGGACGTGTCGTCGATGCTTTTGATGTTGATGGGAATGGCAGCAGGTCTCTCCCTGGAGCAGAACAGACGCTGGGTTAGGAAAAGCAGGATCTGATCAACACCCAGCAGGAAGTCTGGGTGGAGGAAAGCAGCCAAAGGCTCCAAACAGGCCAGCCGCTACGATATTAAATAAATCGGGTCCTTTTTTCCGTCTAGTGGCGGCGGCAGTCGGCCACAGAGGTGCCTGAAACTTATTTAAATCAGCCTTTAAAAATAATCAAAGCTTCCGTCAGTGAAAACACGACATCACTTCCTGTTGATCCGTTATGAGAACCCAGCGCTGACCTGATGTGGTCGTAGTCCACCCCCTCAAAGAAAGGATTGGATTTGATCTCCTCCACCCCCACAGCGCCGATCCGATGCTCCTCTTCACAGCAGAACCTGAAGAGAAACAGCCAAGCTATTGCAGGGTGGTACATAAATCTGAGGAGCATTTATTTTGAAGGCTGAGGTGATTTCCTGCCTGAGAATCAGGTCTTTGGCCTTCTCTGAGATGGGCACCTCCGGAGGGAACGTCAGCGTCTCTCTCCAGTTCATCACCTTCCTGTAGGTCTCCTGAGGCGTCTCCGAGCAGAACGGAGGGTAACCTGGAGAACCAGCACAACGTTTAGCACCAGAACCGGCCCGACCCGGCGCTCCTGAAGGCTGCCTCTGGTTACCTATCAGCATCTCGTACATGATGACCCCGAGGCTCCACCAATCACACAGCTTGTTGTATCCGTTCTGCATGAAGACCTCTGGAGCGATGTAGTCCGGCGTTCCCACCGTGGAGAAAGCCTGGAGCAGGAACGTGAGGTTATGCTGAGATGACCTTCATGTCAGATTAAAAATCACTTGTTCACTAGAATAAATCCTTGTGTGCAGCAGGAGAAGGGCGGGGTTAGGTCCGGTTCATGGATCCAACACCAACAGGATTAGAGCAGAACTCCACAAACGCGTCCGACTGAAACCCACATCGTCCTCTTTACCGGGCCTGAGCCATTCTAGGAAAAGATCCAAGTGCGACTTTTCTTGGAGAAATTTCGATTTCAGTTCAAATCAAGTTTCAACACAATATTCTTAATATAGAATAATATATAATTTTATATAAGTCATAAAAATCTGAAGCTAATTTACTCATTCTTTTCCAACGAGCTCGTGAAGCGTCTGAAATCATGAAACACGTTTTACCCGCTTGTTGGAACTAGCGTCAGAAATATTCTAACGCACTGAGGTCACACTGGAGCCGAGGCCCAAGTAAAAATCTAATCGCTCGCAAAGTTCCCGCGCTGCTCCTCTGTTCACATCAGGCGACAATGCTCGACGAGCGCATCTGCTCACCCCACGCCCGTGTGTGTGTGTGTGTGTTCATCTCTCTAGTCTGTTTAGATACACAAAAATGATCACTTTTATGAATCGTGGTGTTTTACTTTGAAAAATGCCTTTATTTTGTTAAATTTACCGGCCTGCCTCGTTTGTTTTGGTTGGACTTCCTGCCAGACTTGACGCAGAAAATGAGAGCTCACACCAAAACGATGGCTGCACAGCACGAGCCTTCGCGGCTGATGTGATCCAGGGGTTAGGCTCGGCTCCGGTGCACCCCCTCCCCCGCGTTGGCTGTTGCCGCGGTAACGCGGGGCAAAACCCTGGATGTCTAAAAGAGATCCTGGTTCTGTCATGAGCGCAAAGCTTTGATGATCACAGGATCTCGTTATTTAAAATTGGAATTTCGGTCCAAAAACGACCGGTCAGTCAGCGCTACTTTTGACCGTCCCATTTAGGAAAACTAGCTAGACATCTCTGATCTTCTGGTTCTGAATGAAAGTTTTACTTTGAAGCTGAACCTGGGTGTGTTCATGGTGTATTTATACGCTCAGACTCACCAGCTGCCTCCTGTTTCTCTTCCAGGTTTCTGCTTTCCTCTTGGAGTTCATGTTCTGAAAGGCTGCAAAGAAACCACACGGCTCAGTGTGTGTGTGTGTGTGTGTGTGTGTGTGTGTGCGTGTGTGTGTGAGACAGGGTGACATGTTACTTCTGCTGCACGCTTCCAGCATTTTACACCAAACATAAAGTTTTCAGCAGAACATCCAAACTTGTCCGATTTGGGAAAAAACACTTCAGTGGAGGTTTTGTGGGAATGTGAGACCAGAACCGTGGCGGAGAGGAAGTGGGCGAGTGTTAGCAGCGTTAAATGCATCAGCATGATACCCTTTACCATTAATACCATCATCAATAAGAATAATTATTGTTATAACAGGAGGTTAGAAATGAGACTTCAGTAGCTGGTAAACACACATCAGGCATTAAACTTATTTTCTGCATTAAATAATCTCAGATTTTCACCAGCTGATCCATTCCTGCAGGACAAATCTAATCAATCCTTCTATAAACATGTTTATCTGCAGGAAGGATTCCTGTTGCCTAAACTGGGTTTAACTCTAACTGGAGAAGCAACAACACGCCTAGTCCTGGCCCGCACGTCTGACTCAAACATCAAAGCCTAAACCGGGACATGTGGGTGAGTGCAGCTGCCTGACTTTGTTTGCTGAAGTCACTGGGCAGGCTGTGGTTCAGGTTCTTGTAGAAGTCCGTACGATGAGCCTTCTTTAACCCCGTGCACAGCCCGAAGTCGGAAAGCTTCACGTGACCCTGGAAAGCACATGACCACACGTTAGGAGCAATCCGATAACTCACAGACAAAAACAGACGTAACAAAAACGACTGATGATGCAACAAAAACAAGCGTAACAAAAATTGGCATATCAAAACACAGACGTAACAAAAATGACGTAACAAAAACGACTGATGATGTAATAAAAACGACGTAGCAAAAACAGATGTAATAAAAACGACCGATGATGTAACAAAAGCAGATGTAACAAAAACGACTGATGATGTAACAAAAACAGACGTAACAAAAACAAACGTAACAAAATCAGACGTAACAAAAACGACTGATGTAACAAAATCAGACGTAACAAAAACAGACGTAACAAAAACAAACGTAACAAAATCAGACGTAACAAAAATGACCGATGTAACAAAATCAGACGTAACAAAAACAAACGTAACAAAAACGACTGATGACATAACAAAAGCAGACGTAACACAAACAGATGTAACAAAAACGACTGATGACGTAACAAAAGCAGACGTAACACAAACAGATGTAACAAAAGCAGACGTAACACAAACAGATGTAACAAAAGCAGACGTAACACAAACAGATGTAACAAAAGCAGACGTAACACAAACAGATGTAACAAAAGCAGACGTAACACAAACAGATGTAACAAAAGCAGACGTAACACAAACAGACGTAACAAAAACGACTGATGACATAACAAAAGCAGATGTAACAAAAACGACTGATGATGTAACAAAAACAGACGTAACAAAAACAAATGTAACACAAACAGACGTAACAAAAGCAGATGTAACACAAACAGATGTAACAAAAACGACTGATGACGTAACAAAAGCAGACGTAACACAAACAGATGTAACAAAAGCAGACGTAACACAAACAGATGTAACAAAAGCAGACGTAACACAAACAGATGTAACAAAAGCAGACGTAACACAAACAGACGTAACAAAAACGACTGATGACGTAACAAAAGCAGACGTAACAAAAACAAACGTAACAAAATCAGACGTAACAAAAACGGCCGATGTAACAAAATCTGACGTAACAAATACAGACGTAACAAGAACAAACGTAACAAAATCAGACGTAACAAAAACGACTGATGTAACAAACTCAGATGTAACAAAAACAAACGTAACAACATCAGACGTCACAACAACGGCTGATGACGTAACAAAAGCAGACGTAACACAAACAGATGTAACAAAAGCAGACGTAACACAAACAGATGTAACAAAAGCAGACGTAACACAAACAGACGTAACAAAAACGACTGATGTAACAAAATCAGACGTAACAAAAACGACTGATGACATAACAAAAGCAGACGTAACAAAAACGACTGATGATGTAACGAAAACAGACGTAACAAAAACAAACGTAACAAAATCAGACGTAACAAAAACGACCGATGTAACAAAATCAGACGTAACAAAAACAAACGTAACAAAATCAGACGTAACTAAAACGACTGATGACGTAACAAAAGCAGACGTAACTAAAACGACTGATGACGTAACAAAAGCAGACGTAACACAAGCAGATGTAACAAAAGCAGACGCAACACAGATGTAACAAAAGCAGACGTAACAAAAACAGACGTAACAAAAACGACTGATGACGTAACACAAGCAGATGTAACAAAAGCAGACGTAACACAAGCAGATGTAACAAAAGCAGACGTAACACAAACAGATGTAACAAAAGCAGACGTAACACAAACAGATGTAACAAAAGCAGACGCAACACAAACAGATGTAACAAAAGCAGACGTAACAAAAACAGACGTAACAAAAACGACTGATGACGTAACACAAGCAGATGTAACAAAAGCAGACATAACACAAACAGATGTAACAAAAGCAGACGTAACACAAACAGACGTAACAAAAACAGACGTAACAAAAATGACTGATGACGTAACACAAGCTGATGTAACAAAAGCAGACGCAACACAAACAGATGTAACAAAAGCAGACGTAACAAAAACAGACGTAACAAAAACGACTGATGACGTAACACAAGCAGATGTAACAAAAGCAGACGTAACACAAGCAGATGTAACAAAAGCAGACGTAACACAAACAGACGTAACAAAAGCAGACGTAACACAAACAGACGTAACAAAAACAAGACGTAACAAAAATGACTGATGAAGTAACACAAGCTGATGTAACAAAAGCAGACGCAACACAAACAGATGTAACAAAAGCAGACGTAACAAAAACAAACGTAACAAAATCAGACGTAACTAAAACGACTGATGACGTAACAAAAGCAGACGTAACACAAGCAGATGTAACAAAAGTAGACGTAACACAAGCAGATGTAACAAAAGCAGACGCAACACAAACAGATGTAACAAAAGCAGACGCAACACAAACAGATGTAACAAAAGCAGACGCAACACAAACAGATGTAACAAAAGCAGACATAACAAAAACAGACGTAACTAAAGCTGACGTAACAAAAACGACTGATGACGTAACAAAAGCAGACGTAACAAAATCTGACGTAACAAAAACGACGCAACAGCAGCTACATTCCTCCAAACAGCTGATTAAAGAGTTCATATATCCTGCTCTCTGGTTTTTAATCAGGATTTATTATTGAGCTTCAGGTGAGATGTGTGGTAAGCATATATGTTTGAGGCTATTATTGTGAAGGATTAGAGGAAGTTCCCCTGCTCCACCAGCACCTTGTATTAATAACATCTAAACATAGTTTATGCATGACTTCCTTTTCCTGGAAAGAGGACACGGGCTCTTTCCTCAATTTTTACTTTTTTGAATCCATGTTTTAAATTTATCCTGAAAACATTTTGACTTTATTCCCGACACGAGTTCCTGGGATGACTTTGAGCTCCCCCACATGTGTGGACATGGGCTCCTTCTACTAAGACCTTATGGTTATTTATAGACACCTGATACTGACTTACATTTGTCGTCGCCTTGATTTTAGGATATTTAACAACATTTTTCTTTTGTTTAATTTTTGTTAATTACAGTCGACTCATCTGTAACAGCTGGGACTTTTTAAACCACACCAAAGGGTCACCAGAGGTCAATGCTCCACGGTATAAAGATGAACCTGGATGATCTTTACATGTTTCAGTTACTTCTCTCTGAAGCTTTCTTTTGCACATTACAGAACACATTGAACATAAAACTTTATCGGCAACGATGCGCTCAGACAGACCAGCTGAGGGTGGGATTTCTAAACGGGTTTAAATGGAGACGAGTCTCACCCGGGCGTCCAGCAGCAGGTTGTCTGGTTTGATGTCTCTGTGGATGAAGCCCAGCTGGTGGATGGAGTCGATGGCCAGAACCGTCTCAGCGATGTAGAACTGAGTCGCTTCTTCTGTCAACGTGTCCTTCTTCATCAGCAGCGTCATCATGTCTCCTGCAGCAGAGTGGCGTTAGCTCTCAGCTCTGAAGACACAGCCGTCTCTACCAGCGACACCAGAACGAGGCCCTGAAGGGTTAGGACCCTGAAGCTGGTCTCACCTCCAGGAAGAAACTCCATGATGAGGTAGAGGTTCATCTTGTCCTGGAAGCTGTAGAACATTTTGACCACCCACAGGCTGTCCGCCTCCACCAAGATGTCCCGCTCGGCTCGGATGTGTCCAACCTGCAGGTGGGAGGACTCGGTACGTTACCTTCGTCCAACAGACACGCCGGTGTGGACAAACGTCCGTCTCACCTGTTCCTTCTCCAGCATGTCGGCTTTCCGTAGGATTTTCATGGCGTAGACGTGACCCGTGTCTTTCTTTTGCACCAGACGGACCTGAAGATTCAAATCAAACCCAAAGACCAGGTTTCCTGTGATGATTTTATCAGCTAACAACACTAAAATCTAACATGTTCGTCTCATCCTCTGTTAGAAACTTTGGTCATAATAACAGATTAATTCATACATTAAAGTATGTATGATAAAATATTACGAGGTTATACACAAACTCTGATGATTCCTTACTCGTGTATAAAATCCATAGAGCCACGGTAAACACCCCTGGTCTGGTTATTATGGAATACAACAAATGTACGGGATTGTATGAATGTTTCCTTTAGGTATTTATTGACATAAACACCAACACTGTGCTCCAGAAGAGCTGCTTTATCACCCTCCCTTCCTGTGATCCCATCTTCATTAGAGAACAACCATGTTCTGCGTTCTGAAGGCACCGTGACCACAAACGTGGTTAAAACGCTTGTGTGGATTAAATCAGAACAAAGATTTTACCTCTCCAAAAGCTCCTCGACCAATCACCTTCAGGGACTCGAAGTCCTCCAGACCCAGTCGGGTTCGCTTCAAGCGCAGGAACTCTGTTTCCTTCCTGGCGTGTTCGGAGCGGCGGAGTCGTTTCTGGCAGAAACAAGAGAAAGGTGGTCTTATTATTATTATTATTATTATTATGAAGGAGGAAGTCATCGGGAAGACATTCGACACTCCGGAAAGTCTAAAACAGATTCCACTGTTAAAATATCCCAAACTTCTCAGCGTTACAGCCACAGATGAATCCTAATAAATGACTAAATATGATAATAAAACCAACTCCTCTGACTGTGTCCACGTTTCAGACTAAAGATGTGTGGACGGGCGGATTCACATATGCATCTGACTGAATCTCAGCTCTGAGATTAAATCAGTTTCAATATCAGATTAAAAGTACAAACGTAGATGATTTCTTCAGACATCTGCTGTAAAAGCACCAGAATGTCGACCGTTTGCTGGTCTCAGAGCCGTGATGAGCGACTCGTGGCTGAGTAAGAATCACTAAAACTGAACAGAACAATAACAGACGTCAGCGTGATCCAGGAGCTCACCTCTTCATCAGCCAGACCCTCCTGGTCCATCACCTTCTCCAGCTTCTGCTGCCTGGTGACACAATTTAAGATGTGGTTCACTTGTTTAATCAGCACATCTGCAGTGGTCTGTAACGAGAACGAATGCTCTCCAAGTCGTTCTCTGAGGGAAAAGCTCAGATGCACCTGTTTCAGTACAAGCCAGCTTCAGACGACAGGATCTGGACTCCTGTGGTCCTTACACACTCGCATCCGCTCCACCCCGCCTGGACCGGGTTGGGAGTGTTCTCAAAACTGTGTGTACTGAAACTCGTAATTTCCCTCTGGGATTAATAAAGTATCTTTGAATTGCATTTAGGAAGCCATGAATTTTCCCAACAGACGTCTTTCCAGTCCTCTTCTCGAGGAGGTCTGCCTGGAGTGGAACAGGGCCCACATGCCTACTGCTGACTGGCTGGCTCAAAAGCACGCCTACCATTAGGGGGAGCCTCCGATTGGTCGGATAGAATCAGCCCAGCGATTCGTTATCATTCTGGATGCTGAGGGGGTAACGACCCTCTGTGTGTAGGACGCACACACACCCTAACCTAAAGTAAAAGCTAATTTACACCATACCTTTAAGACCAAGTTCCAGGGTGCTTCACCAGCAAAATGTCCACACACACACACACACACACACACACACACACACACACACACACACACACACACACACACACACACACACACACACACACACACACACACACACACACACACACACACACACACACACACACACACACACACACACACCTTTAGATCATGAAAAGCCATTTAAGACTAAAAAAGATGCTTAAACACAAACACAACTGATGTGTGAGTCCAACACATAATTGAATGAAGTGTGTTTGCACTCACACACACGTTCCTAGCTGTGATTAAGCGCCAAGCTAAAAACCACCAAATCCCAGGAAAGGTCAAGCCTTCCTTCCAGCAGGAAGTCTAATCCAGTAAAATTATCCAACTTCTCGTTTTAGATCTAATAAATTCATAACTTTTATTTAATGACCCTCTTGTTGTTGTCCACTCAACGCACCAAAGACACCTGCTGACACACAGATGGTTCCCACTTCCACCCACAGTGGAAATGGAAAGGAGAACTGGAGTCCACGGGGGAATAACACAGAGCCACGGGTTCTGATAAGCAGACAACAGCTGGGTTCTAGGTCAAACTGAAGAAGTAGAACCAAGGAGGACGTCAAACACAAGCGAGAGTTCCACCAAGAGGAACACGAACCGCCATCTGAGCTCTCCAGCATGGAGCTGAACATGTCCCCATTGTTCCACAGAGACTGGCTGACCCAGACAAGAGCTGAGCAGGTCAGACTTCCTCACTAGTGACACGTAACAGCTCCTCAGGTCAACACTCACCTGTCCTCCTACATCTCGGAGACAAGAGACGCTCCTCTGAGGACAGTGATAGTGCTTTCTGCTTAACAACATTAAACCATCTGTGTGAAACCAACAGTTGGACTTTTCTCACCGGGTGGTTTCACAAGCAGTACCACCTTAAACACGTGATCTAAAACCACACGTGTGTTAGCATCAGAACGATAATGGTCCAAACGAGTCACATGATGGGGCTGACGTTAATGTGACTGTGGTGAGAACTTCCAACCCTGAGAAGCTTTAGGATGGGAGGCAAAACGTCCTCCAAGAGGAGAAGTCCAGCTGCCTGTTGTTTCAACTCTTGTGAGTAATCTGTGATGCAACTCATCGCAGCAGGAAACGGTCCTGCCCCAACTTCACCGTGACACAACCCACATCCTCCAGTCAGAAACACAAATCCCAACGTCAGGTTGATGACTTCAGCGTGTTAAAACAACCAGAGCTGCTTCACCAATCAGTTCGGAAAAATGTCAAATAGAACAATAAAATGTTTAGAAATATTTAAATAAATCCTGCACCTGCTCTGTTCGGGGCTCTGTCAGAGTTCAAGCCAAGAAGAAAAACAGCTACTTTAAATGTTCAAGCAGGTAAAATCCTTTAAACTTTTAGTTCTGGAAACAAAATGATCAGAGTAGTTTTACCTCATCTCTCTCTCCTCGTGTTGGGCGATCAGGTTACTGTAGAAGTTCTCCAGAGTCACTTTGGCCATGGTGACCCGTTCCTTGGTGTGGTTACTCATGGAGGAGAACGAGCTCTGGCCAGTCATCGCCATACTTTGTCTGGAAAACCAAAACTAAAGTGATCAGAACTTCCTGTCCCCCCCTTAAACTGTGTTGCAGTAAATATAAATAATACATCTGGTAATTATAGGCAGACGGTTGACGTTTTCAATCCAAGCCCTCATACAACATTACAGCAGGCAGCGTCTTAAATTACAGCCTTAAATTATATATCCGTGGAAGATAAACGATAGATGGACAGTTCAGGTTCATTTCCTGTTACATGACAGGTTGAATCCCAGCTTTGCGCCACACAACTGGAACAATAACATCATGTGCTCTCCATCTGTCCAGTTTCTGATGAACAACTTTAGAAATACGAGGAATGAAACTGTGTTTCAGTTGATCTGAATTCAAAAAGCTAATTTATCATCTAACTCGTACCTGAGAAAAATTACGACATATCTAAACATTTATATTAAAAATAAACCTCTTGGAAGTTTAAACCTGAAAATGAGAGACTACACCTTTTGAGCACCAGGTAGTGAAGCCAGACTCAACTTAAACTTCCAAAAACTGAAAATATTCCTCTTAGCTTCTTGGAAGCGTCACAAGATCCGTTTTACACAAACGCAAGTCTGACATTTCTAAAGAGCATCAGAGCTGTTCAAGTTAACAGATCACCTGCCTGGAAGGGTTTTTTAAAAAGGTTTAATATGATTTGATTACACTGATAGAGCTTTAAGGGTTTTTTTTCCTCTTGAGGTCAACTTCAAAACAGTTCCAGGGGGTTTGTAAGAAAGAAAACAAGCTGCACGCTCCAGCTCGCAGCAACAGTTCTCTGTTAAAATGAACCTGGGCTGAACTTAAAAACTGGAACTAAACGATGAGAAAACGGTTGGCTAAAACAAGAAGAGGAAGGCAGCCATTGAGCAATGCTGTGTCAACTGATAAATGCAGTAAACAACAGAATTATTTAATCATACTTAAGTCGTTTGGATGCGCCAGCTCTGATGCAGGTATCCCAAAAAGGATAGAAGCAGCTTCAGATGACGCAGGTTTTTTAATTCAGAATCAATTTCACCAACACGTAAAAGCCATCATTTTACTACTATGTGCAAACGACTTTTTGAAACGAGGAAACACAAAAAAATAAAAATAACAAAAAACAATTACATTCACACTGGTAGTTTACTGGCTATTTGAATGACTGAATCCACGACTTCAAAGCTAGCAGCCCATCCCCGAGGCTTCTGTAAAACATCTTCATAACATTTGCATGAACGCAAAAAGGTAGTCTGCCCTGTTCAGTAGGTCTAAACTTAAACTGGGTGTGTTTCAAAGTCAAAATTACCTTGAATAAAGTGTTTTATTTCCTGCTCAATTAAACATTAAGTCACAAGTCGGTGGTAAAAAGCAAACAATGAGGGGAAGTTTAAATAATCACTAAACTGACCTAACCAGCCCTGAAAAAAAAACGTAGCTAGTTTCGGTTGGAATGTAATGCCGCAGTTAGATAACTTTCATTAGAAGGAATCCCTTAAAGTCCTTAACCCACGAAGTTAAACATTACCTGGTTTCCTGTTGAGATAATAAATTTTACTTTTCCCTAACTTTCAGGTTCGTAAACAAACGTCTTATCCCGCTAACATCACTCAGCTAGCTAGTTAGCTATTAAAGTTCTTGGCTTCATCAAGCTAGTCCGGAGAAGTAATGACAATGCCGGAAATATTTTCAAAATAAAGCTCCCCTCGACAAAGCAACAATGACTTAAAGGCATAATCATAAAGTGGACTTTTAATTTGACAGTCTTTACCGGAAATTCCTCATACGTTTAAACAAGTCTTACAAGTAGAAGTTCTTTAAGCCAACAGCTAAGTGAAAGTTAGCAAGTAAACGCTGTTTGCTACCCGAGGTCTTTGTGTGCAAACTGACCTTCATGCGGTGGAAAACAGTCAACAATAACTTCAGAACTAAACTAAAAGTCCGCCATGCTAACTAGTAGTGGTTTATTCCGTCTGTCATGTCAGTCTTTGTTCGCTTACCTTGATCGAAGGTGGGGTATCTGCCGCGTCTCTTGCTCTACACCGAGGGCGGTGCATCCTCCTCGCTTTCTACTCAGTTGCCACCTAGCGGCTCCGAGTGGACCTGTCAATTTATTTATTTACTTTTATTTAACCAGATGAGTCAACTTTGTCTTTTTGTCAATAATATGATCAAACATTTCTGTACTTAGCTAAATCTATTTTACTCTACTGTATATTGTTAAAATATAAATGTACTTATTTTATTTTATATGATCGCATGTGCCATTTTTATCTCTATTAAAAATTATATATTATATATTTCGTCGTCTTCCTCCGCTTATCCGGGTCCGGGTCACGGGGCAGCATCCCAACTAGGGTGCTCCAGACTGTCCTCTCCCCGGCCACCTCCACCAGCTCCTCCGGCAGGACCCCAAGGCGTTCCCGGACCAGATTGGAGATGTAACCTCTCCAGCGTGTCCCGGGTCGACCCGGGGGCCTCCTGCCGGCAGGACATGCCAGAAACACCTCCCCAGGGAGGCGTCATGGGGGCATCCTGACCAGATGCCCAAACCACCTCAACTGGCTCCTTTCGATCCGGAGGAGCAGCGGTTCTACTCCGAGTCCCTCCCGAATGTCCGAGCTCCTCACCCTATCTCTAAGGCTGAGCCCGGCCACCCTACGGAGGAAACTCATTTCGGCCGCTTGTATCCGCGATCTCGTTCTTTCGGTCATTACCCAAAGCTCATGACCATAGGTGAGGATCGGGACGTAGATCGACCGGTAGATCGAGAGCCTGGCTTTCTGGCTCAGCTCCCTCTTCACCACGACAGATCGGCTCAGCGTCCACATCACTGCAGACGCCGAACCAATCCGCCTGTCGATCTCCTGATCCCTCCTACCCTCACTTGTGAACAAGACCCCGAGATACTTAAACTCCTCCACTTGAGGTAGGACCTCTCCCCCGACCCGGAGTTGGCAAGCCACCCTTTTCCGGTCGAGAACCATGGTCTCAGAATTGGAGGTGCTGATCCTCATCCCAGCCGCTTCACACTCGGCCGCGAACCTACCCAGCAAGAGCTGAAGGTCAGAGCTGGATGAAGCTAGGAGGACCACATCATCCGCAAAAAGCAGAGACGAGATTCTCCTGCCACCAAACTCGACACACTCCACACCACGGCTGCGCCTAGAACTTCTGCCCATAAAGGTAATGAACAGAACCGGTGACAAAGGGCAGCCCTGGCGGAGTCCAACCCTCACCGGGAACAGGTCCGACTTACGACCTGCGGACCAAACTCACGCTCCTCTGGTAAAGGGACTGAATGGCCCTTACCAGAAAGCCACCCACCCCATACTCCTGGAGTGTCCCCCACAGGGTGCCCCTGGGGACACGGTCATAAGCCTTCTCCAAATCCACAAAGCACATGTGGATTGGTTGGGCAAACTCCCATGCCCCCTCCATCACCCTTGCAAGGGTATAGAGCTGGTCCACAGTTCCACGGCCAGGACGAAAACCACATTGCTCCTCCTCTATCTGAGATTCAACTATCGATCGGACCCTCCTCTCCAGTAGCTTGGAGTAGACCTTTCCAGGGAGGCTGAGGAGTGTGATCCCCCTATAGTTGGAACACACCCTCAGGTCACCCTTCTTAAAGACGGGGACCACCACCCCGGTCTGCCACTCTACAGGAGCTGCCCCCGATGACCACGCAATGTTGCAGAGACGTGTCAACCATGACAGCCCTACAACATCCATAGCCTTGAGATACCCAGGACGAACCTCATCCGCCCCCGGGGCTCCGCCGCTGTGTAGTTGTTTGACTACCTCAGCAACGTCTGCCCCCGAGATTGGACAGTCCATCCCCAGGTCTCCCGGCTCTGGCTCCTCCTCGGAATGCGCGTAGGTGGGATTGAGGAGCTCCTCCAAGTATTCCTTCCACCGTCCGACTATAGCCCCAGTTGACGTCAGCAGCTCCCCATCCTCACTGTAAACAGTGTGAGCGAGTTGCTGCCTCCCTCTCCTGAGGCGCCGGACAGTTTGCCAGAACCTCTTTGGAGCCGATCGAAAGTCTTTCTCTGGCTGCTTTTCCCAAAAGATGTAAAAATATGTAAATAAATCCTCTAAAGGTTTCACAAGAAAAAAAAAGAATCATAAGTGGAAAAACTAAAAGTAGAAATGAAAGCACGAATGGATCCTACATATTCTCCCCACTCTTTAAATGGTTGCTTTTAGAAAACTATTTGTAATGAGCATAAATTAAATGTTTTAGCAACCTGAAGGTTTTCCTAAAAATGTAATCACCGTTTAAACGTCATCTGAACTTTTCAACACAAGATCAAACACATCATGTTCAGATGTCTTTATTATAACAAAAACATCATCCTGAGTCCCACCACGTGAGGCGAATATGTTCTATTACTTTAATGAGAACTATTGTTTAATCATAAAAGACAGACCAGCCTTCCAGAGGAATCTCCATCACACCGTTCACAAACACCCAGCAGGTGGCGCTGTGGGCATGTAGAAAATACAGCTGTGTTGGAAAAAGTCCAGCAGCCAAACAGATTCATTTCAGTGGGTTTAACATCATTAACGAGTCACATGCCTGCTGGTTATCAGTCCTCCAAGGCCTGATAATCCCCCGTTGGTCCAAAAATGACTGCATGTGTAAAAACAGAGACGTTTCAGAAGTGGCCGGATTCTGAAAACTGGGATTTTTTTCCCAAACAGAACATCCCGGTCCTCCTCAGACCCAACAACCCCCTCAGGCAGAAACAGGTGCACCCAAACCTGAGCTGAGTGGGTAACCGAACATCCACACAAACACGGGAGAGACAACCCTTCAGGTGATTATTCCACAGAGCATTTACTTCTTAAAGAGAACAGACTAACTTGCATTAATTAAGTTTTAATTACCTAGGACTCCATCACTTATTTTGAAGTGATAAAAAACTGTCTTCAGGAAATAGACACGTCCAGTTGCATTTTTCTGCATCTAATAAAACATTGTTTTTATCATCAAATAAAAGGAAATAGATTTTTTCCCCAAACAATTTACATATTTAAATAATTTCAACATTTCCTCTTCCAGCCATCAGAGGGCACTGGAGCACCACCAACAGATCACCATTTAGAGGATGTGACTATATCTAAAGTACAGGCAGATCTGAGTCAGAATGGATGTTAATTCACCTTTCAGGGTCTTTAGGGCGACTCTTGCTTCTGGGAACAGCTGATGTATGAGGATTTGGGTCACACATCTGGGTTCAAACACCAGTTTTACACACTGAGTCAAGCTCTCTAAACCAATATTTATTATTCATCAGTGAAGTCAGTCACAAAGAGTGGAAAAAACCCCACAAACTAATCTCTGCAGAAGCAGCGCAGGTCTAAAATCAGAGCTCGGCGGTTGGAAGTGAGTCCTGATAGGAAACGATTTTCCTGTTTATCAGCATCTGGACTCCAGCCACAGGAGGAGAACCGCTACCTGAGCCAGAAGTCTCTCGAACACCAGTGTCAGACACCGAGTAGCAGCAGCACAGTCACACAGTAATTCACACTAAAGCTTCAGAGTCACTAGAACACAATATTCACATCATCTCCTCTCTGATCGCATATTTACACCCGGAGCCAGTCAGCTAGTGTTTCCTCGTCCGGTCCCTCTTCTCCTGATGTTCAAGAATCTTCCTGTGAAATATTCCTGCAGCACACACGGACACACACACGCATACACACACACACACACACACACACACACACACACATTAGAGGAATGTGGAAGAATACACAGAAACAACAAAAAGGTTCAGTGCCAGCCAGGAGCTGCTAGCGTGAGCATTAGCTTCTCCGTAAAGCAGATAGCTCTTGCGGAGTGTACGGGTGTGTGTTAACACAAGGAGACACATCAGAAATGCTGCCCATTGATACAGGAAAGGTTAAAGGTCATTTCTAAACCCCATCCCTCTGCAGACAGGAACAGCCGAGACCACTGAGGGAGCAAATTTAACCCAAGGACTAAGGTCAAAGTTCAGGGAAATCACAAAATACTAAACTATAACTCCACCTGAAATCCTCCAGGCTGCATTTATCAGGTTAAAGGTTAAAGGTCATGATGGGACAGGACAACCAGAAACAGCCAGTTTCAACAATGGCAGTGCAGCATGTCAGCATAAACAGCTGATCCCAGCTGTCGGCGCGATGGTGGACGGTTCTGACCCAACAGAACTCACCAAGTCCGTTAGAGTCCAGCTTAAGCTTGGATCCGGCCGGGCCACAAACTAGAACAAGATCCTAACATCTAAACCATCTGGTCTGAGTCCGGCCCTGCTTTAAACGCTGAGGTCGAGCTGGACCAGAACCCCTCCAGAACCACGCGAGAGACTAGAGCTCACCCTGCTGTGGTCCAGACGGCTGCTGCTTCTCCACCTCCTGGATGAACAGGTCAAACATCTGCGTCTGGATGAACTTCTTAACAAAGTGCCGGGTCGTCCTGGACTCGATGGCCTTGCAGAAGCTCCTCCCATCAAACACGCCGTGCCCATCTGAACGTTTGACGTGGGACTTAAAATGGCCGACCGTCTTCACAAAGAACTGGAGGAAGGCTTCGGACACGACGTGGTTCAGCTCTTCCACCGCTGGAAGGAACACAAACAGCATGAGGGGGAGTGACGACGGGCCAGAGGTCCTGACCCACACGGGCTCCTCAGAACTCACACAAATCCTTCCGGCGAGGCAGAGCCTCCAGGATCTCCGTTTGGAGTTTCGGGGGAAGAATCGATTCTTCATCGCCGATCTGGAAGAGAAGACTTTACTGAAGTGCGTTAACTCAGCAACGTTTCAGGTGTGGTCAGAAAGAGATGTGAAGTCAAACTTACAGACGCAATAAATGTTTTCTTCTTATCTGCAGACAGATCCACCACCAGCAGCTGTCACACACACAAAAGGCTAAAGGTCACCGAAGGTCATCCACTCACATCACTGAATTAAAGACCAAGTTCACATGGGTCTCAAGCATAAACAAGCGCCAAGTGAGTCATCTACAGTGCAGGCTGAACGCTAGCACACACCTGCTCATTCAGTGTGTTTCCTGTAGTTTCATGACCGTTTGCTAAAGCCCAACAAGAGCTAAACTCCTCTGGGAACTCCTGCAGGACCACTGGAAATCCATCCAGGTGACCTCCGCTTGAAGCTCATCAGGAGAACGCCAGGAGTGTGTAAAGCAGTAATCAGAGTAAAGGGTGGCTATTCTGAAGAAGACAGAATGTAAAACATGTACATGACTCCTCATGTGTTCATTCAAAGGCAGTTGGAAATCTGGGTGTTGTGATTGATGAACACCTGACCTTAAAGATCATGTTGCCTCTGTTGCTCGTTCATGACGCTTTGCGCTGTACAACATACGTAAGATCAGACCATACCTAACACAACATGCCACCCAGCTCCTGGTGCAATCTACTGTCATCTCCCGCCTCCATTACTGCAACGCCCTTCTAACTGGTCTTCCAGCCTGGACTGTGAGACCTCTTCAGATGGTCCAGAACGCAGCGGCGCGTCTGGTCTTCAATCAGCCAAAAAGAGCACACGTCACCCCTCTGTTCACTGAGCTCCAGAAACTCCTTAAGACCCTGCTCTTCAGAGAGCATCTTCTAAACTAGCACCCTCCCTGCACCCGTCCCCCCTCTCTACTGTCCACTCCTTGTTCCCTCCTCTCCATGATTTATGCCAAGTTGTTGTTGTTATTGTTGTTGTTAACCTCAAGGGCAACATGCCAATTATCACTTGTAAGTCGTTTTGGACAAAAGCGTCTGCTAAATACATAAACATGTGTTCATTCATAGTTTTGATGCCTTCAGTGAGAATCATGAAGATAAAGACAACACACTGAATGAGAAGGCGTGTCCAAACTTTTGGCCTGTGCTGTATGAGGAATAAAAGCTCTGGTGCTCCTGTTTCAGGAGCTAGAAGTCAGCCACAGCAGCGGCGAGCCGAGCACAGCAGGATCTGGAGTCTTACTTCCTGATATGTGTTGTAACAGCAACACGACTCTACCATTGACTGTCTGCTCTTTAACGTTGATGTTTCATCTCCACAAAGACGAGTTCTGCTGTGTGGTGGAGCTGCTAATGCTAATGGTTAGCGTCTACTAGCCTTCCCTGTCATGAGTCAAGATGGGTGAATCTGTGAATGTTCGTTTTACCTTTTGAACAGATTTTATATTAAAAAGTTTTGATTTACTTTTTAAATAAAATTTATAAACAAATATTTCGTTTTTTTAACCTTTAATCCTGATTTTTCCTCTGTGGGACAAACAAGCACTTGACTCACGTCGCTCTGATCGGTGACCTGGTCCAGCAGGCACTTCTGGACTCCCAGCAGGTAAGGGGTGGGCGCCATCACCACGTCGATCAGGATCTCTGGAACGATGGAGATGAAGGTGTGCTGCCAGGTGAAGGGATAAAGGAGCGCCGTGACCGCGTGAAGCACCTGAGATAACTTGCTGCAAACACAAAAAAGAAAAAAACTGCTGAGCTAACAGCCTCGAACGGCCGTTAGCTCAGCAGATACCTCGCTGTTCAGGGAACAAATAAGCGTGAGATCAATTTCTTGGTTCAAAATTAATTGAGTCAGTCTTGGACTCATTCAGTCTGAGGAAGTTAGCCGCTAACCATCCCTTCACATCTGAGAGACACTCAGAAATTAGTGAGTCCATGTTTGGTCCTTTTGTTGCCGGATAGATCCGGCAATCATCAGCGTAGATATGGTAACTGATACCATACCTCTCAAAGATCTTTCCCAAAGGGAGAAGATAGATGGAAAATAGGAGGGGTACCAGGACAGAACCTTGAGGCACCCCCCAATCAAATGGGAGAGAGAGTGAGGCGCAATCACCAATCTGCACACTGAATGATCTATTTGCCAGGTAAGAGCGAAACCAGACCACAGTACTATTCGTAAGACCGACCCATGATTCTAGTCGATCCAACAGGATGAGGTGGTCTGCTGACAGATCCAGTAACAGCAGCAGCACGAGATCCAGAATCTGACGTAGCTAAAATAGCATTTAGAACACAACTTAGAGCAGATGCCGTGCTATGGTGCTGTCTGAAAGCAGACAGACGCATATCGAACAGCAAATTTCTCTCCATGTGGGCTTTGATGTTCTCCAGAACCTTCCATAAAAATGGGACTTAAGAAATTAGGCGTAGGTTGTCATAGTTCGAAAGGTCCAAGCCGAGCTTCTTCCAAATTGGCTGCACGACTGTTTTATTTTTAAATCATAGGAAACACTCCAGTGGTGAGACAGTTTTCAGAACGGCTGGATCCAGAACCGTAACAGGAAGAAAGTCCTCAGGAGAACCAGCAGGTTTCGAGGATCTAATCGGTTTCTCAAGGTCATGGAGAAGAACAGGAGCTAAATTAGAGAGAGCAGGCGGAGCTGGTGGTTCCACAAGGCAGGTGTGCCTCAGGGGCTTTAGGCTAATTTCAACGATTTTGTGATAAAAATATTTCTGAAGCTCGGCACAGACAGAAACGCCAGGAGTAAGACCATCTGACGCAGTTAGCAACAAAACAGAGCTGATAGTACCGTACAATCACCACCGATTCCCTTGGTGTTGCACGATGATATCAGAGACATATTTATTAGGAGCATAGCGAACCGCTCTCCGATAACGAGACAGCCGCTCTGAAACAGTCAGCCTGTCCTTCCTCCACCTTCACTCCAGAACCCTGCGAGTGTCATCCTTCAGCCATGGCTCCCAGATAGCTGTCTTCCCTTTAAGTCTGAGAGTTTATGGAGGCATGAAATCAGTTTAACAGAAAAAAACAACTACACTAAAATATTCTTAAAATGAGGATAGTTTAACAGAATGTTGCAGTTGCAGGTTGTCCAAAATGCCGCTGCTAGGTTTTTAGCAAACATAAGCCGACATAGCCGTATTACACCGGTCCTGGAACATCTTCACTGGCTCCCCATCACATTTCGTGTGCCTTTTAAGATACTGATGTTTGTTTTTAAAGCCCTACACGATCTAGCTCCTCCTTATCTGTCCGACCTGCTGACTCTCTATGTACCTACTCGTATGTTGAGGTCAGCTGACCATCTACTGCTTTGCATTCCCCGGATGTCCTACAAATATCGAGGTGAACGTGCGTTTGTCCATGCTGCCCCCATGCTCTGGACCTCACTGCCCATTACAGTTAGGCTGGCATCCTCTCTGCCTGTTTTTAAATCTCATTTAAAAACCTACTTTTATGACTTGGCTTTCATGTTGTTGTACTATGATTTTATAGTTTTTATTGTTGTGTTTTATCTTCTTATTGCTTTTTTCTTTTTGTTTTAATCGATCCTGCCTGGTCAGCACTCAAGCTGTGTCTTAAATTGTGCTACAGAAATAAAGTTGGTATGGTGTGGTATTATTTTACCTTAGTATTATTTTATATTGTCAATAAATGATATCATAATATAAACCTTATTGCTTTAAACATATTTTGAAAGCTCTGAGTAACCCTGAGGTGTTTTGTTGTGAATAAATTGTAACAATAAAATCTTTATGATCATCACGATCCGTTTGTATTCATGCCCCACGTGACCTGGTCAGACACAAGTTAATCCAAACCGAGTAGCTCTCCTGAGACCAGGACGACTGCCGGTGCCGCTGCCTAAAACGCGCCCCGACTCCAAGATGGGACTGAATTTTCGTCTGACCGGCTCAGACCGGTTTAATCTCAACAGGATCAGGATACCCAGTGTTTGGTTTACGTGCTAAATGTACTAAATCTCCCTTTGAGATTTCACTTTTTTATAATATTTCAGTTTAAACTCACACTTTTCATTAAGTCAAGTTAATAAAACAAGCTTTCAGGAGAGAATAGGATCAGTCAGAAAGGTCCAGTTAGAACTTCCTGATCTTCAGCAGAACCAATCCCAACGCTAAGAGCTGACTGAATGCTCTATAGCACACGTGTCAGACATAAGGCCCGCGGGCCAAATCTGGGCCGCGGAGCATTTTTATGTGGCCCCATGATGCTTTGTGGCGTTAGCACGGAGCCGACGCGCCCCCTCCTTTTTGTTTTTCCAGCGCCGTCTTCTGCCGGTGTCTGCAGCTCCGCTGTCTCGGACAGACTACACTCCTCTCACTCAGCGCTGAGTTTACTCAGCTATTTTCTGACGTTGAAGCCCAGAAACGGAGATTCTAGCCGCTCAGTAATGTGTTCGCGACTGAAAGAGAAAGTTTTCCTACTAACGTCCAGACAGAGCTGATATAACTCCAGCGAGCAGCGACACGCTCAAACCAGCATGACTCTGTGGCTGCTGTCGTGTTTCCTCCCCGACACACAACAACGTGGTCAAGCTGCTCAGACATGTTCAGCAGCACAAATCTATGTGAGCACCTGTTGTCATCTAATGTTGTCATTATTATGATGAAGATGAACAAAACAACAGGAGTCTCCTCCTCAGCTCAGATCAACCCCATGATGCAGGTATCTGGCTGGAACAGGTGAGCATCACAGTAAACCAGTGGAGCAAACTGAGCTTTAAATATGTTGGTTTGATGCTCTTTTTCTGCTCCAAAACATGAAAGTTAACAGGTGAGATGTTGCATTTTCATTTAAGATAAAATGATATTTTATTTTGTTGTTGGCCCGTGAGAAAAGATTTAACCTACAGTAAACAGGAAGAGGAAAGGCTGCAGATAGATGAATAGAATAGAAAATCCCTTTATTGTTCCTCAGTGGGGAAAGCTAGACGTCACAGCAGCGATGACACGTATTACAGGAGAAAAAAAAGGAGAATAAAAAATAAGAAAAAAAGAATAAACAAGAAAACATAAATCCTGAATAGATTGTAAAAATGCTGATTATACCACAAGTAATGAATACCACTGCTGCCTTTTATTTAAAACTGACTTGCTCGTGTGTAATTTGGTTATTCCACATTCAGTGTTAATGCAGAAATATGTTTGTTTCCAAATTAAAAGGCTAAAAATTGCATATATGTTGATAAAGAAAATGTGCAAATTTGCCGTCACTTTTTAAAAAAATATTAAGTTCGGCCTTCGACTCCGTCCCAGAGTCTCATTTCGGCCCAATGTGAGTTTGAGTTTGACACCCCTGATCTAGAATGTCCAGGTGTAACAGTAGAGAAATACCCGAGTTCTTCTGCGATGAAAACGATCCGTCGTTCTAGAACGGCGGCACCAAAGACCAGCAGCACCTCCTTGTCAGTCAGGCACTGGAACAACGTCTCAAAGTTCACGTGTTCCAGCCAGGAGTCCAGTGGTCGGGTCAGACGGATGATCTGAGCACAAAACACACAACAGATGACGAAATGGGCTGACATCACTCAGCTGATGTTCTGCAGCACAGCCATCACACCCTTCTGCAATTATTTTTATTTACATTCAAATCAATCAAACCTCTACATTAGAGGCCAATAAAATCCGACTAGGCCCGTAGAAAAGCCTTACGGCCTCATTTAAAGTACCGAATGTTCTGTTGAACTGAAAACAGTATTTGCTGCACACGTTTGTTAATGTTCATCACATTTTGGAAATAATTATTTTGATTTGTTGAAGTTTTATTAATCCACTAATTAAGGCAACACTTTTTGGGGGGGAAGGGGACGAAAACCCAAACAACGGAGACTTTGGGAAAATAAAAACAGAAAAAATATTTAACAGATTTCATTGAACTACTTGATGTTTTACAATGAAAAAGTGGAGAAGTACAGGCTTGTTTTAAATCACTATAATTACCAAAAGCGTTCAGAAAAGTATTGTAACATATTTCTTTCCACAGAACCGGAAAAATACTAAAGAAAACATTTTTATAGGTTTGAAAATTAAACATTGCTGCTGAAACCTGGATTTAAGTGAGAAAAAAGTAAAAAGGAACAAAAATGAACTGAAAATGTTAAAAAGTGGTAGTTATATGAGTTTTAGACTTTTAAACATTAAAGTTGTTTATTTTGTTTCCTGCCTAAACGTTTCGTGTCTGTTCCTGCAGGAAAATGCCAGCCTCGTTGTGACTTTCCCCCTTGTTTATTGTTTTTTTCAACCACCGTGACTACGGGTCTTCACAAAGCCACGGCAGCGTGTCGTCGTGCTCCGTTCACCGGAGAGCTGCTCACAGTAACCAACACAAACATGTGCTGTTGAAACATGGTCCGAGTGTCGGGTTTCTGCTGCGGTGGATGTTGGGAAACGGGACAGGTTCAGACGGGGATCCTCACCCAACCCCCGTGGCTCGGTTCTTCTGAATTTAACAGCGAGTCTAAGTTTGAATCGTTTCTTTCACTGAAGTCACGGTCTTACGCCATCAGAGATCTCTGCTGAAACAGACATAAATGAAATGTCTCATTAAAAATAATCTGCCGGATTTTTGATTTCCACTCTGGAATCACATTTTTTCTGACAGTAAAAATAGTTCAGTCGTTTAAGCGGGACTTTGAGGAAAATGAAAAAAGCTTAAAACAAGACTGGTGGCTTTATGAAAACTGAATTTTTTTACTCTGTCCCATTTTAGCCTAAAGTCTAAATTCTAATCTGCCACGTATTGATTTAGGTTTCTATTTAAAAATAAAATAATGTTTCATATCTTAGAAATGATCTATGTTCCTGAATTTTCCAAATTTTCCAGTGTTTTCTCTGTGGGGGCCCTCTGCCCCGGGGGCGCTATAGGTAGTGTTTAAGTGGAGGTGGGGGTCTATGCTCCCCCTCCTCTGAGCACCCTGACTTAGTGTGGAAGACCTGATGCTGCCGGGGCAGACGGCTCCTCTGATGGCGTTTCCTTGCGTTACCTTACTTGGCTCATCTGGACTCAGCCGAATATAGATGTTTATGTTTATGTATTTAGCAGACGCTTTTGTCCAAAGCGACTTACAAGTGATAATCGGCATGTTGCCCTTGAGTCTAACAACAACAACAATAACAACAACAACTGGACATCAGTCATGGAGAGGAGGGAACAAGGAGTGGACAGTAGAGAGGGGGGACGGGTGCAGACAAGGTGCTAGTTAAGAAGATGCTCTCTGAAGAGCAGGGTCTTCAGGAGTTTCTTGAAAATTGAAAAGGAAGCCGCTGTTCTGGTAGTGCTTGGAAGGTCATTCCACATTTGTGGAACGATGCATGAGAAGAGTCTGGATTGTCCTGAGCATGGTGTAGGCACTGCTAGCCGACCAACCTGTGATGACCGGAGCGGCCGGGCCGAGACGTAAGCCTTTGCAAGAGGATTCAGGTAGATGGGAGCCGTACCATCTCGGACTTTGTATGCTAGTGTTAGCAGTTTGAATTTGATGCTGCTAGCGGTAGCCAGTGGAGCTCAATGAACAGAGGGGTGACGTGTACTCTTTTTGGCTGATTGAAGACCAGACGCGCCGCTGCGTTCTGGACCATTTGAAGAGGTCTCACAGTACAGCCTGGAAGACCAGTTAGAAGGGCGTTGCAGTAATCGAGGCGGGAGATGATAGTAGATTGCACCAGGAGCTGGGTGGCATGTTGTGTTAGGTATGGTCTGATCTTTCGTATGTTATACAGCGCAAAGCGGCATGAACGAGCAGCAGAGGCAACATGATCTTTAAAGGTCAGGTGTTCATCAATCACAACACCCAGATTTCGAACTGCCTTTGAAGGAGCCAGAGATAGGAAGTCATTTTGGATTGAGATATTGTGCTGTATGGATGGTTTTGCTGGGATGACAAGTAGTTCAGTTTTAGAGAGGTTGAGTTGGAGATGGTGGGACTTCATCCATTTTGATATGTCAGAGAGACAGTTTGATATTCGTGCTGAGACAGTGTGGTCGTCCGGTGGAAATGACAGATAGAGCTGGGTGTCGTCTGCATAGCAGTGGTAGGAGAAGCCATGTGATTGAATGATCTCACCCAGTGAGGTGGTGTATATGGCAAAGAGAAGAGGTCCTAGTACAGAGCCCTGGGGGACTCCTGTGGCAAAATGGTGCACGGTAGAGGATTGTCCAAGCCAAGATACACTGAATGATCGTCCTGTGAGGTACGATTCAAACGATTCAAAATTTTTGCGTGTGTGTGTGTGTGTGTGTGCGTGTTTAAACTGTTACGAGAATTTGGGGTCATTTTAATTCTATAAAGCACTTTGCTTGAAAAGCGCTTTATAGATAAAATCTGATTGATCTTTTGCACACTGTCTGCATAAATGCCTAAACTGCCCCTTTACCTGCAAATGTCTGAAGCTGCTTCCATAGAATTACAGAATCTAATGAAAATGTTAATTTATTCAGCAAATATGAAGAGTAAAAGTGCAATATCAGATAACTGGCTTTGACTCAGAAACAGAACTTGTGGAGAAGGAACAGAAAACCGGGGGTTGGCTTTAGGCTGCTGCAGGAACATAACGTTTTCCAGCAGACGGATGAACAGGCTATTCCTCACTTTCAGCTTCCATTCCTGATTAAATAGTTTCCTGATTTTCTACCGTTCTGTTCTCAGATCTCAGCAGAAACTCAGAGAACAATGATATCAGCTGATGGGAGAGCTTTAAACTCCTCTGTAAGTAGATTTCTGTTCAGAATAAACACTTACCCTCTCCACGGAAACAAGCTAAGCACAAATACAAGTGAGCCGATGACTGTGGGACTTATCACGTGTTTGTGAGCAAATGTGGATTCGTCTCGGACAGAAATCCTGTCCACTCATGATAGGAGGACCAGAGGAGAAACATTTTCAACAGCCGGTTTGGAGAAAGAGGGTCGGGGAATAGGGGGTTGCTCTGACCTCGGTGCCAGACTCAGGAATGAAGCTCTTAATCTCGACCGTGTTTCCTGGAGCCGGGAACGAAGCCTCTCTCAGCTTCTGCATGAATGGGTAGATCATGGCCATGGAGATCTGCCGCCGCTTCTCTACCTCGTCAAATATCTACACACACACACACACACACACACACACACACACACACACACACACACACACACACACACACACACACACACACACACACACACACACACACACACACACACACACACACACACACACACACACACACACACACACACACACACACACACACACACACACACACACACACACATTAGAAAGGAGTAAATGAAAGACCTGCTGAAGCTTTGATCTATATCAACATGGAAATGAACTCTTTATTGTCTGATATATAAATAATAATTAGAAAATTCCAGATGAAATAGTAAATTAACCATTTGTTGGGTAATGTTAATGTAACAACAACATCATTTATATACAGTAAATCTGCAGTATCCACCAGATGGCAAAAATGTGTAGGATGCAGCAGGTTTCTGAGGAAAGTACTAGTCTTGTTAAAGAAGTAGAGGTCCTCCGAGCTTAGAAAAGTATAACACATTTGTGTTAGAAGCTTCTGCTGCTTGTGAGAACTTTTCCACAGATGCCAAAAACAGACCTATAAAACATGCTCGCTATTCCGTAAACACAATCCCAGCAGTCCAGCTTCTACTGGTAGATTGTTTTGATGCAGCAGGGCTTCTGATGTAGTAAATACAAACATGTCTGCATGCTGCTGAGGAGAGCACACAAAAACACAAAGTGGACTTTCAAAACATTAAACCTGAGCTTGAGCCAGGAACTCACAGGGATGGAATTGCTTTCTGTCTCCAAAATGTCTCAAAATGCATGTGAAATTTCTCGTGAGTCTCAGGTCTTCGCTTTCGTGTCGCTGAGATCTTTAAGATGTTCCCCAAACTTGCAATTTGCCCTCAAATTGTAGCCAAGTTGTCATGTACCAAAATCCTTTAGCTACCCTTCAAAGCCCTCCATAACCTGGCCCCCTATATTTAGCTCACCTCCTCCACGTCTACACGCCGTCTCGCGCTCTTCGTTCTTCTCCAGACTGTCTCCTCACCATTGCACGTACCCGTCTGTCCACTATGGGACACCGGTCATTTGGTTCAGCTGCACCGAGGCTCTGGAACAAACTGCCTCAGGGTGTTCGTACAGTTCGTCCATCCAAACCGCTTCTATTCTTTTAATGTGTTGTCTTATCAGCCCTTGCTTTTTAATTTCTGCTCTTATTGTTTACGTGTTGCTCTGTTGTTGATGTGTACGCTCTAATGGATTTGTTTACATGGTTTTAAACTGTGATACTTGTGTTCATGTCTTATGTTTAAAAACCATGAGAGTATTTAAATGTGCTTATAAATAAAATGTATAATAATAAGAAAAAAAATTATAATAATAAGATAATAATAATAATTATTATTATTATTAGTATCTTATTATTATTATTATATGTTATTTTTTTATTATTATTATTAAATTATTTACTACTACTATTATTATTATTATTATTATTATTATTTTATTATTATTATTATTACATTATTTTATTATTATTATTATGTGTCTGAAAATCTTCTGAATTTCTTTGCCACGAGTCAGAACATTTGAGAAATGTCAGATGGCTTTGGAAGAAAGGCAGGTCACGGGAAAAAGAAAATTGTTGACAAATTGAGAGATTTTACAAATGAATTGAGTTAACGTCAACATTTGTGTTTAGTTTTCATTCTGTTTTTGTTCTGTTATGATTTAGTCATAAAGTGTCGTAATCGTGGCTCAGTGGGTTTTTGACCTGACCCAATCCTCATGTAACCCTCTGATCTCTATTAAGGTAGCGCGACTTGGGTTGTGAATGACCACAGTCACCAGTTCTTGTCATGTGTCTATGTATGAATGTCTGATCTCTGAGTTGTGTGTACTGAAACTCTAATTTCCCTCTGGGATTAATAAAGTATCTTTGAATCTGAATTTCTTCATTTTGCTTGTATACTTTGGTCTCCGACCCGTCACAGAGTCGTTTCACGTTTCTCTACATCCTGACTCACAAAACGAAGGGTTGCAACTTTTCTTAGAGAAAGTTCCTGCAAAACGACAGCGAGGCTTGGAGCGAAATAGAAAATCCTTGTAAACATTTCAAGGCGTTTGGAAAACATTGTTGGAAACTTCGTCAGATGCTGTCGACAGAAGTGTTTCGTGTTGGAATTGATTTTAACGCCTGAGTTGGTTCTTCACACTTAAACTGTCGCAGCTTGAATTTTATTTTCTCACCTTAGAGAAAAGTCCAAAACACGCCAGAGAGCTGATGATGCAGTACGCCTCTGGTGGTCGAGCTCCTTTTCCTCCTGGCTGAGAGTGGCAGTTTAAAACACATGAACCTTAAAAAATAACCTTTAACCTTCATCAGACTGACCAGTAACCTGCGGCAGTATCCGTTTCTTCTACTGCCGTCGACCTCCGTCAGAACAAAAGAAAAGGTCTCACTAAACAGAAACAGAAAAATGAAAGAGAATCAATGTCAAAAATGAAAGATGGGGAACCACAGCCAACCCAGTGGGCTCTGTTCGGTACCTGTGGTATTCTGTTAAAGGAGCCCAGCTGATGCCTTCTGGAAAACAAAACAGAGTGATGGCCTTCAGGGTCTTCTCCTCCTCCTCCTTCTGGTACTTTACCATCCCGTCTTTCTGGAAACAAACACAGATATTAAAATCTTCTCTCAGATTCAACCACTAATATCTCAACTGTAAGGAAGTTCACAGAAGGTCAAGGCGCCTCCTTCAGTCTGCGCCCTTGATCATCAGGAACATTTTCTCTGAGGACTTTTACTTTCCTCAAAGTAAAATAAAACATCATATCATCAGCATAACGGTTTACACGTCACCGTGTTTCCTGGGGACTCCGACTAAAGGCAACTTGTTTAGTGAAAACGACGGGTTTGTAGTAAAACTGGAATAAAGATTAAAGGTAAACGTCGGGAAAGGGAAGGAAACAAGACCTTCATAAGAACTAATTCAATCACCTGCAGGTGGCACAATCCGTCTCTGGTACAACAAAAAAGATTCATTTATTTGCATTTTTCCATATTTGTATAATTAATTATTGACAAAGCTCTGAGGCTGCCGATAGCTAACATGTACGAGTCCAGAACCCTGTGGGACACCATAAACAATCTAGACAGATAAAGTCAAAACAAGTCATATAAATGTGACCTAAACTGGACCGGAGCAGAACACGGTCCTGATGGTGAGCTCTAAACGTCCCATCGTGGCGAGCCTCTTTGCACTAACTCATAGTTTAGACACAATCACATGTTTACTGGTCAGACTGACCTTAGGAAACTGGTAGGTGATCTGCGGCTCATAGCTGCCGCCATCTCTGGTCTTCTTGAGGCTGACCACCACCAGATATTCAAAGAAGTACTGACCGCTGGCGTAGCGATGCTGCACGGACATGGTGTCTGCTCCTGACGAGCTCTGCAGCATCTCTGCAGGTTCAGCATCTTTGATTTCTACAGAAACGAACAAACATAGAGTTAGACCAGGTTGCATCACATCTATATTTCTACCTCCTTCCCCTGACTCAGGGTGACGCCATCCATTCATTGTTGTGTTTTACTGATTTAAATGAAAGTTAAACTCCGTCTGGAGCTAAAACTAAAAAGCTGCATCTTGTCACGGCGCGCTGGTGAGTGGAGCAGAGGCGAGGATCCAAATGCTGGGAAGGAAGCAGGCAGGCAGACAAACTAGAAAACTCAAAAGGTTTTTAATGATATCTGGACGCAGGACATGGAAACAATGAGGCAACAAGAGACACAGAACTGGAGGGGTTTAAATACAAGAGGGCTGGGAACTCGGGTGATTAGGAAACGAGAGGCAGGTGGGAGCAATTAACAGAGACGCAGGCTGAACCAAACAGGGAGACAGGACAGGGTGTGACAGTAACCCCCCCCCCCCCCCCCCCCTCAAAGGGCGGATTCCAGACGCCCATAGGAACACAGAGCAGGGTGGGAGGAGGGGGATCCGGAGGGAGGGCCAAGAGGGGCCGATGGAGAGGAGGCAGGGACCAGTAGAGTCCGGGGGCCTGCGTCTGGGGCAGAGGAGGAGACGAGGATGGGCTCCCGGGGGCCCGCGCCTGATGAGGGCAGGACTGGCGGTGATCGGAGGCAGAGACGCCGGAGGAGACGTCCTTGACTTCTGGACTGGAGACTGCAGCGTCGACCACGGGACTGGAGACGGCGCAGACGTTGGACTGGAGAGAGCGTCGACCTCTGGACTGGAGAGAGCGTCGACCTCTGGAGTGGATGAGGCGTCGACCTCTGGAGTGGATGAGGCGTCGACCTCTGGAGTGGATGAGGCGTCGACCTCTGGAGTGGATGAGGCGTCGACCTCTGGAGTGGATGAGGCGTCGACCTCTGGAGTGGATGAGGCGTCGACCTCTGGAGGGATGAGGCGTCGACCTCTGGAGGGATGAGGCGTCGACCTCTGGAGGGATGAGGCGTCGACCTCTGGAGGGATGAGGCGTCGACCTCTGGAGTGGATGAGGCGTCGACCTCTGGAGGGATGAGGCGTCGACCTCTGGAGTGGATGAGGCGTCGACCTCTGGAGTGGATGAGGCGTCGACCTCTGGAGGGATGAGGCGTCGACCTCTGGAGGGATGAGGCGTCGACCTCTGGAGTGGATGAGGCGTCGACCTCTGGAGGGATGAGGCGTCGACCTCTGGAGGGGATGAGGCGTCGACCTCTGGAGGGGATGAGGCGTCGACCTCTGGAGGGATGAGGCGTCGACCTCTGGAGTGGATGAGGCGTCGACCTCTGGAGGGATGAGGCGTCGACCTCTGGAGTGGATGAGGCGTCGACCTCTGGAGGGATGAGGCGTCGACCTCTGGAGTGGATGAGGCGTCGACCTCTGGAGGGATGAGGCGTCGACCTCTGGAGTGGATGAGGCGTCGACTCCAGAACACGAGGAGGCGTTGACTTCTGGCCTGGGGGCGTCAACTTATGGCCTGGGGGCCTCGACTTCTGGCTGGGGGGTGTCAACTTCTGGCCTGGGGGTGTCGACTTCTGGCCTGGGGGTGTCGACTTCTGGCCTGGGGGTGTCGACTTCTGGCCTGGAGGCGTCGACTTCGAGACTGGAGGCGTCGATTTCGAGACTGGAGGCGTCGACCCTTGGACTGGAGGCGTTGACCTCCATCGACTTCTGGTCCGGGGGCGTTGATTCCTGGTCCTGAGGCGTCGACTTCTGGACCGCTGGCCTCTGGACCGCCGGCCTCTGGACGGCCGGCTTCTGGAGGGGAGGAGGAGTTGCTGCAGACGGGACCGCTTGGACAGGCTGGACCGGATGCGGTGCGACCTCCGGGACCACCGCTGGAACTGGATGAGGTGCATCCACCGGGACCACCGCTGGAACCGGATGCGGTGCGACCTCCAGGACCACCACTGGAACTGGAGCTGACTGAACTGGTGGTGCCGGAAACTGGGAGAGCAGGGAGGACAGGCCGTCCAGCTGGAGCTTATTGAGACTGAGGGTCTGATGGAGCTGGGCCAGCTCAGCTTGGAGACCGGCGAGCTCTGTCAGCTGGGCTGTGGGCGTTGTTCCTCCGCCTGCAGATGACGGAGGAGCTGATTGGACCGGAGACGGGACTGCTGATCTGACTAGGGACGGGTCCAAGCTGGCGCGCCGAGCCGGGGCAGCGGCGAGCTCGCGGCTCCGTCCCGGGATACAGGGTTGCGGTGGAGCCCGGCATCCCTCCCCATGCCGTGGGCCATCTCCGGGGGAGCACACAGCCAGTCTGGTGCCCACGAAGCTGGAGCGATCCGGAAGCGTCTCCCGGTCCAACCTCACATCTGGCTCTGGGAGGGTGGAGAGGATCGCCGAGGCTGAAGGTCGGTGACGGCGTTTGCGGCGAGGCGATACCAGAGGAAGAGGAGCCGGCCGGTGGTCCGCTGCGAGAAACTGGAGCAGGTACTCCCAAGGGATGACCTTCCCGCTGGATCCTTCTGTGGGTTGCCTCATTCTGTCACGGCGCGCTGGTGAGTGGAGCGGAGGTGAGGATCCAAATGCTGGGAAGGAAGCAGGCAGGCAGACAAACTAGAAAACTCAAAAGGTTTTTTAATGATATCTGGACGCAGGACATGGAAACAATGAGGCAACAAGAGACACAGAACTGGAGGGGTTTAAATACAAGAGGGCTGGGAACTCGGGTGATTGGGAAACGAGAGGCAGGTGGGAGCAATCAACAGAGACGCAGGCTGAACCAAACAGGGAGACAGGACAGGGTGTGACACATCTGCGTAGGTTTGATTTTGTAATTTTAATTCAACTGTTACCTCATCAAGAACTTAATAACTCTGAGCTCATGGAGAAGATCAATGTTGGATTAAAGCTATTATTGTTTATTTGCGCTGACTCGATGCAGAACACCGATGTGAAATCAGCAAATAGATGGTGGCCCGCTGGTCGGACCAGTAAATGAGATATTTTATAACTCAGGTAAAGAAAAACGTCTTTCAAAAATCGGGTTGTTATTTTCAGATTAAACGGGCATCAAAACCCAAACCAGCAGTGGTGCAGCAGGTTTTTGTTTTAGGCTCCGAACACAACCTGCGGATAACTTCTCAGGATTTCCAGCAGCTTTGGGCGGCTCCACAAGCCTCGCCGAAGAGCAATAACAATAAAGTATTCTTACATGCTTCAGTATTTAGAGGCGCATGAGACTCTTATTGAGAAGGATTTTATTGAAGCTGTCTGTTGTTGTTTAACGAGCAGAAACTACTCCGAGTACCCCTCCTCTCCATCCCCTGATGAGTCATTGGCCTCTATTGTGACGGAGTCGTGTTGATCAGATTACGGGTCTGATTAGCTATAAATAACATCAGCTGTAGTTGAGCCTCGTGCCACTCCGTCCGCTCAAGCATCAGAGCCCCCGCCGGCGCTCGTTCCGACCAACGTAACACCTTTAAGACTCCAGACGTGTAAAATAGCTGCCACAGCCTGATGCTGGGTCACTCAGGAGCGCCACAGAAACAACTGCACTTTGATGATCACATGATGCTGTTTGAAATCGCAATTTGAATCAGAAAACGATAGATGTTTCAGCCCCGCTCCAGACTCATCAGAATCAAACATCCAAAGGTCATATTCTGCTGCCGTTAGCGTGTCACTGATCGTGAAACGTGACATTCTGCTTCTGCCTCACAAACCACAACATGAACTCCTTCTGACAGGTGAATCAGTGATGCATCCTGGGGTCTGTGTGGGGCCGAGGCCCGACCTTCTTGTGCTTCTCTCTAGTTTCTCTGAGTGATGAGTCTGAACAGACGGTGCAGAAATCTCTTCCCTTTTAAGGGGTTTGGCCGGACGTGTAACTCTGCTTTTAAAGGCACAACTGAGATCATAAATCAAGCAGAGGACACAGGTGGAAGGTCTGCTAACTTACATAAGTACAACTTTCCAGGGACTTTACTTTACAGGCAAAGACAAAAACGACTTGTTTTAATGTAAACCGGGGGGGGGGGGGGGGGGGGGGATTAATCAGAGTATGTGTTCTGTTCCAATCCGAGATTCAGGGTTAGGGATCAGATGTGGGATCCATGATCTGATCCAAAACAATAATAAACATGTTAACTTTCGTGTCAGCTGACTGGCAATTCAAACAACTCTGCTAACATTATTATTATTACTACAATTATTACAATTATTATAAGTATTACTATTATTAATAATACTATTATTATTATTATTATTATATTACTATTATTAATACTACTATTATTATTATTACTACAATTATTACAATTATTATAAGTATTACTATTATTAATAATACTATTATTATTATTATTATTATATTACTATTATTAATACTACTATTATTATTATTACTACAATTATTACAATTATTATAAGTATTACTATTATTAATAATACTATTATTATTATTATTATTATATTACTATTATTAATACTACTATTATTATTATTATTACTATTACTATTATTATTATTATTACTACTATTACTATTATTACTACTATAATTATTATTAATAATAATATTATTATTATTACTATTATTACTATTATTATTAATACTATTATTATTATCTTCGTCTTCGTCTTCCTCCGCTTATCCGGGTCCGGGTCGCGGGGGCAGCATCCCAATTAGGGAGCTCCAGGCCGTCCTCTCCCCGGCCACCTCCACCAGCTCCTCCGGCAGGACCCCAAGGCGTTCCCGGACCAGATTGGAGATGTAACCTCTCCAACGTGTCCTGGGTCGACCCGGGGGCCTTCTGCCGGCAGGACATGCCCGAAACACCTCCCCGGGGAGGCGTCCAGGAGGCATCCTGACCAGATGCCCAAACCACCTCAACTGGCTCCTTTCGATCCGGAGGAGCAGCGGTTCTACTCCGAGTCCCTCCCGAATGTCCGAGCTCCTCACCCTATCTCTAAGGCTGAGCCCGGCCACCCTACGGAGGAAACTCATTTCGGCCGCTTGTATCCGCGATCTCGTTCTTTCGGTCATTACCCAAAGCTCATGACCATAGGTGAGGATTGGGACGTAGATGGACCGGTAAATCGAGAGCCTGGCTTTCTGGCTCAGCTCCCTCTTCCCCACGACAGATCGGCTCAGCGTCCGCATCACTGCAGACGCCGAACCAATCCGCCTGTCGATCTCCCGATCCTTCCTACCCTCACTCGTGAACAAGACCCCGAGATACTTAAACTC